GAGGCTCCGTTCGCAAGTCAATGCCAATTTTTGCCAACGGAGCCGTTTGTAAATCGAAAAGTTCGTATGTAGGACGTTCATAAGTCGAGGGTTGACTGTACACATCTGTTAGCGCAGACTGTACACTTCTGAAAGTGTAGACTATAACAGTTACCATTTTTCAGCCACATCACACTGTTGGCCCATATTCAGCTTGTAATCTAGCATGATTCCAGGATCCACCGGACATGTATTACTACTGATCCCAGTATCCCTGTACAGTAATTGTGCATTTTTTTTCTTTTATAATAAGTTACCATTTTTCAGCCACATCACACTGTTGGCCCGTATTCAGCTTGTAATCTACCATGATTCCAGGATCCACTGGACATGTATTACTACTGATCCCAGTATTCCTGTACAGTAATTGTGCATTTGGTTTTTTTTTCTTTTATTTATTTTCTTTATCTCTTTTATTTCTTTTCTTTGTTTCTCTTATTTATTAAAGCAATTTCTAGATTTTTCAGCCACATCACACTGTTGGCCCGTATTCAGCTTGTAATCTACCATGATTCCAGGATCCACTGGACATGTATTACTACTGATCCCAGTATTCCTGTACAGTAATTGTGCATTTGGTTTTTTTTTCTTTTATTTATTTTCTTTATCTCTTTTATTTCTTTTCTTTGTTTCTCTTATTTATTAAAGCAATTTCTAGTTGAGTAGTCACCATAGGTTCCTTCCAGCTCTGCAATTCTAACATTATCATTATTATCACTTTAGTAGTAGTAGTAGTAACAGAAGCAGTAATAATAATAGAATACCTTTATATTCTAAAACGTATCACACAAATATAAGGATAGTTATCCAACTTCATTTTGATTTGTATTATTATTACTACTGCTATCATTATAGTTATTGTGATCTGTTATCCCTTCTTCTTAGCACAGTAAGTCTCAGTAGAATAGTCTCCCTGAATCCACTGGGGACCTGGCGGGCCAACTACTCCTCCATAAGCTTATGGCAAAATAAAGTGTTGTCTGTCTGGGAAGAGCAGGTTGCTCTGTGCAAGTCCGGAGCCCTCCCGAAGGAATGCGCAGGCACTCCGGGACAAAAGAATCTTCATTGTTTTCTCTGGCCTCCCGGTTGAACTTAGGGACAAAGGCAGAAGGCATTTTGGTCGCCAGACTTCAGGAGAATAAATTTTTCTCTCACCCTTCCCTTCCCCCCCCCCTTTGGTAAAGCAACACCCAGTGTGTGACAGCATTTTTGTTCACAGAGATCTAGCAGGGGACCAGTTGAGAGTACTATTGTGTGACCTCTCATTGAGAGGGATGAAATCTTATGACCTCATCCTGTGACCTGGACACTTGAGTCAAGGCGAGGTCAAGGAGGGGAAGGAGGGCAGCAGAAGCAAGGAACCGGATGCCAGAGAGAGAGAGAGAGACCCCTCCTAAAAGATTCAGAGAGAGAGAGAGAGAGAGAGACCCCCCTAAAGGATTCTTCAGTCTTTCAAATGTTCCAGCAAAAATAGATTCCCCCCAGTAGCTATTTTCCTTGCTGCTACTGTGCCATACTGTAGACTGCATCTACAGAAACTCCCTCGCCCAGAGCTGTTTCTGGGCTGGCTGCACATCAGAGAAGCATAGCTTGGTTCAAGTCTCATGTCCGTCATGGAGGCAGGCGTCCTTGGGCAATGGTGTGTCTATGCATGTGTGTGTCCGTAGCGCTCTCTCAGCCCCAGTTTTTCTGCCACCTACAGTGGGGTGGGAGAGAGTAGTTTCTTACTAGCTGAACAGTCCCAGGCTCCCCAGATAGGACTGGCAAAATGGGAGTCACACCTGGCTGACAATGATCTTACAGGGTTCCTGCAATGATGTGCGTGAACGCAGCCAGAGTGCTGTATCAATACAGGGTGTTGTTTACATTGACTTGCTTAGGAATAAGGGCTATTGAGGTCAGTTTATTTTAGTTTGCGCAAGTACCTGTACCCTCAATATGGGTGTGGTTTTCTCTGAGCATCCAGGTGAAAGCTTATTTTTATACCAGCCTTGTAAATAAAGCCACAGAAATTGCTATAGTACTTGCATGCAGATGTATGGCTAACATACTAAAATGCCCTCATAGATGGACCTTCAGTGGTGGACATGTTGGATAGAAACATGGAAATGCAATCTGCTAGCAACTTAGCAAGTAAATGAAAATAAAATTGATCTCCATCAAGGTGATGGACAACTGGCAGGTGCAATGATGCTTATTTCTTCTGCCAACTAGACCTGTTTGCTGGTCACAGAGAAAGAAGCTTCCCTTACCTCTGTGGTTAATACATAGAGGGAGGATTTCTGCAATATTTCACATGGTTTCTGCAACCCATGTTTGAACCTGTAAGCAAGTTCAAACATGTTTATGAGTAATCTGGCCTTTCTTACCAGAATGCTTACAAACATGTTCAAACCCACTGATAAGCTCAAACAATGTAGTTGCAGAAAAAAATATGTCATGTCAGAGAAATCCTCTCCCAACAATACATAATCATTGAGGAACCTTGTGGTGCAGTGGTTAAAGTGCAGTACTGCAGCCAAAACTCTGTTCATGACCCAGGTTCAATTCCAGGTAACTGGCTCAAGGTTCACTCAGCCTTCCATCGTTTCCTAGGTTCGGTCAACTGAATACCTAGCTCATTTGGGGGTGGGTGGCATCATTAACTCCCCCAAGAATGCTTTAAGCACTACGGAGCAGTATATAAGCAACATATTTTACTTTTTATACAGAAAGCAGGTGACTGGCAGAGGAGAGGCAAAGCGATCCATTCCAAACGAAAACTCAGGTTTCCAGGCTGTCTGTCTGTACATGCGTGCATAGTGTTAGGAGCAGGTGTAGATTTAGCCTTGAACATAGGTGTCCAGATCTCCTCAGAGGCCAGGTTGTATTTGCACAGTTAAAGCTAGCGTGTCAAACAGAGCCCCGTCATGGAGATGTCAGAACTGCCCACAGTGACACTTTGCCTAATTACACCCTCTTTTATCAACAACCTTTGTGTCGATTCTCTTGAGTTTTCAGCTTTCTCAGAAATCAGCTAGTTCAGAATGCGGCGCCTAGGCTGTTCCCTGGGGCCAGTTATAGGGCGCGCACAACCTCCTTGTTACACCAACTTTGGCCATCATGTCTATTTCAGAGTGCTGTCTGGCCTGTAAAGATGGATACTATGTGAGTCCAGGCTATCTGAAAGGTGGTTTTTTTGGTCCCACCACGCTCAGAGGGATGTTTGTTGGGGTTGTAAGAAAGTGCTTTTTCTTGCATTGTCTCCTAGACTGTGGAAGTGCTTTCCAAAAGGAGTCTAGTCTGGCCAGTCTCTCAACCTCATTCCACCATCTAGCAAGAAGCTTTTTATTCTGATGGGGGGTTTTTTGATTGGCATTTTCAACTCACTGTTGTCACTTGTTAGGTCTGAACCTGGAGAATCAGAAGCCCATCCTAAGTAAAGCTTAGCAAAATAAGCTACAGTAGGACCCCCGCATCAGCGGGAACAGTATAAGTGGTTTCACTTGTCTGCGGTCTGAGAATATTAAAAGAAAAAAGGATTTTCATTATGTATTTACTAGAATTGGCCACTAGAGGGAGGAAGAGACCATGCTTTGTGTTTTTTAAAAATATTTTTTATTTACACACAAGAAAAAGAAAAACATAAATAAAACAAGTCAATAGTGCACCCCTCACCCCAGCAACCATCCATTAATACAGGGGTTTTTTTGCGGTCTGAGAATATTAAAAGAAAAAAGTATTTTCATTATGTATTTGCTAGAATTGGCCACTAGAGGGAGGAAGTGACCATGCTTTGTGTTTTTTAAAAATATTTTTTATTTACACACAAGAAAAAGAAAAACATAAATAAAACAAGTCAATAGTGCACCCCTCACCCCAGCAACCATCCATTAATACAGGTGTGTTTTTTTTACAACATTCATCTTTTAAATGACCATATATCCCTTGTATTGGTTTTTGCTATTTTCCTTTATTCAATACAATATTTATAAAATCATTCCATACCTCATTCAATCTGTTAATCTTTGTGTGATATTCCAGATTTCATTTCATACATGCTGTGCATTCTTGTTGTTGAAGAATACATACAGTAGCATCATCTATGGCTCCCTCTTATGGCCAGTTATGGGTATACAGGGTGAAAACACTTTTTGCTTGTGGTTTTTTTCCCCATGTTATGTATAGTGTTCTGTGTGTGTGTGTGTGTGTGTTTTCCATGTTATGTATAGTGTTTGGTATTATCCATAGTTTCCAGCATCCTCAGGGCTTGGAACCAATCATCTGCAGATATAGTTTTATACTCTCATTTATTGTCTTTGACTGCATTGACTTAAGGAGAGGAGAAGTGTACAAGACTGAGGATCTCCCAGGCTCAGTTGGATAAAACTCAAGTGTAGTTCAATACTCAATCTGAAATAGGTATTGTCTTTGTGACTTGTAGTAGATATGGTGCTTGCACTTCAGTTTGATTGGTCTTGTATGAGAAGTGGTGCTTTGACAGCTGGAAGACTTTTATTAGAGCTTGGAAATGTTATTAAACATTGTAATGTGTTGCTAGTTACATTTTATGAGCAGCACTTGTTCTTTTCTCCTATAACGTCCAGGAAACAAGTAGCAAAACGCATTCATAAGTAACATATTACCGTTTGATAACCCTGCAAATTAGCTCTGTATTGTTTGTGGGTTTTTACATTGAAATAGATGTTGGATGATTGTGTATTATTGCATAACTTCGCAAAAAATAAGAGCACTATAAAAAAAGCTTGAGGACCTACTTTCAAATAAGTAGTTTCAAGTTTTTGATCAGTAAAGTGCTAAAATAATCCTTGTATGTTAAACCCTGTCTATGCTGGAATGGGTCTAATCCCTCTGTATTTTAAGTAAAAACTTGTTCACTTGCTAGGTAGGTGGGGGGGTTGAGGACATAAAAACACTGACCTCCTTTCACGTGTATCTTGCATTTGATGTTCATTTCGTAGGTGTATTGAACAAAAGTTCAAACGCTGTCCACCCCTCCCAACCACCAGCGTGATCATCGTTTTCCATAATGAGGCTTGGTCAACTTTGCTGCGCACTGTGTTCAGTGTGCTGTATTCCTCCCCAGCTATATTGCTAAAGGAAATCATTCTTGTGGATGATGCCAGTACAGATGGTAAGTACAGCTTCTTTAGAGCTCTGTAGGTATTGCTCAATGGTAGAAACACGGCCCTGTTAAAATGTTTATACTGACATGTCCTAACAGGGCAGTGTGGCCTTCTCCTCCTCTTTCAAGCCCACCAACAGCATCATATCAGCATGGCAGAGAATTCTGTCTCTGTCATAGTCATTCATATTTATCTCTAAGGGTAGCACAGTCTAAATAATGTAAACTCATTTTGCTTCCCTTTATCCCTACATACCTTTGGCCTCTCCCCTCCCACTGTACTTGCAACTGTAAATCTTCAGCCTGTCAAATATCTTTGGGTAGCTCCCTGCCATCTTTTTTTCAACCAATCGACCAAAGAGAAAGAGTCTAGAAAACCATCTACCTGGGGAGGGAGCTCCCTGCTGTTGCTGCCTGCTGTCCCCCCCACATCTGGACTCCAGCCTGATTTGTGTACCTCTTTGCTGGACTAGACCCCTAACCTGTCATTCTCTGCTGTTGACATCACTTCCTGAGATGCTGTGATAAAATATGGACTCCTGCGGGGTCCGTGGGACCGCCATTTGTGGGCTTCTGAAGAGGATGACCTCTAAATGGGGTTGCCCCTTTGAGGGAGCCACTGAGAGGAGGCATGAGGTTGAGGGCCCAGACCCTATCCTCCTGCTTTACAAAGGAAGATGATTGTTGGGACATCGTATTTCCCTAGTGGATCAGTGCTATAGCAAGCTTGTGGCCTGCAGGAAGGATGAATTATCCTAACAAGAGGGTATAGGAAGAAAGACAGGGAGCAGCCTGGAAAGGTCATGGATAGAGAGAGAGAGAGAGAGAGAGAGATGGGAAACTCAGTACTGTCATTGTGGGAGAGGAGAGCTAGAAGGTGTGAGTTGCCCCCAAACTGTCCCCCAAACTATTCAGATACCTTGGATGGCCTTGGAGACAGTCCCTATAGGTTGAAAACCTGTTTGCACAGTTCCAGGTCAGTGAACCTGCTCTTGAACAAATGTGCCAACCTGAGCTTTTGTTACAGACAACCTGGCCAGCGGAAGCTGCAGAGTGTTCAGTTTCTCTGCTTTGTCCACTTGAGCAATCTTTACAGCAGCAAATGAGTTCCTGGAGACTGGGAGGTGAAGTTCAGCTACCTGTCATGATCCCAGCCACCCCTCACCTGGTGCCCCATCCTGTAATCTTCTGGGTTCAAGAGCATGTATTTAGAAGTGGGTGCCCAGACAGAGATGGGATTCTGGTGGTGCATTTGTTGAAAACACCCAGAATAGTGCATTGCACTAATGGGGTGGTATATGAATCTAATAAATAAATAAAGTATTGCCCATCCCGCTGCTCAACAGTCTCCCTTCCTAAACTATTCAGGCTTGTTGTGGGAGTGGTGCTGGAATGCCTTCTGCTTATTGTGTTGGAAGACTTTGAAATCCATGCAAAGGTGGCTACGTCAGGATTGGTTGAGATCTTCATGACAACCATGAATCTGTGAAGGAATATCTGACATCACTTCATGGCTTCAGGGCACACATTTGGTGGGGTCTATGCTCAATGGAACTTCCGTTGGGGTGGAAGACCAATTAAGCTGCCCTCCCCTGAAAGCTGATAGATCTGGATGGGAAGGTTCCTATCACTTCAGCAAGTGATTCCACTGTAAACCTGGTTGATCTCTGAAGTGGGGAAAGACCAGGGTGGAGGACACAATTGCCTCTAGGCATTCCCTCCCACTGCATGGAACTAAGTGTGCTGGATATAACTTTGGCTCCTGCGCATACAGATAAAATGGATGCTCACAGCATGAGGGTGTGGACTGGATCCTTGGAGAAATGAGAACCATGACACGTGCTTCCTGAACAGGGCTGTGGGTAGACTGACCTGAGTGGGCAAAAAGGTCATTGCCTTCTTAGGTCAAGGCAGGGTTTCAGCATCTCTAAAGCAGACATTGGTAAGATCATGTAAAAACAAAACAAACAACAACAAAAAACCAATTCCTTGTTATAATGTATAACTATTGTCCAGTCTCCATTATTCAGTTCTTGGTACTCTGTGGTGACTGACTTCTTTGCTCCAAGGGTTTCTAGATGAGAAAGATTACCTAGATCCATTTCAATCTGGCTTCAGTTTTGGTTATGGAAGGTATGGTTACCTTGATGGACAACTTACACCAGATGTCAGAGAAGGGAAGGTGTCCTTATTGTTTCTGCTGAATCTCTAAGCATCTTTCAGTACCATCAACCATGTCATCCTTCCAAACCATCTCTCTGGGATGGGGCTTCGTAGCACTATTTTAGAGCAGTTCTGGTTATTCCTAAAAGGCCAGAATCACACTGAAGAACTCCTATTTGATGCCCTGGCCATTGGTTCTTGAGATCCTTCAAGATTCCGTTGGGTGCATGCTGTGTAGCACATCCATGAAAGCACTGAGAAGGGTTGTCAGGAATTCTGGGTTCAGTGCCCCTAGTATGCACTTGGCACCCAACTCTGTTTCTCCTTTCCAGCACAATCCAAGGAAGTGGTCTCCATTCTAGCCTGGTTTCTGGGGTCGATAATGGACTGGATGAGGGAAAACAAACTGAAGCTCAGTCCAGAGAAGACAGAGGTGATCCTGATCAGTAGAAAGGCAGTTCAGACATCAGAGATTCAGTCTGTTTCAGATGATATTATGTTCCCACTGAAAACTCAGTTTTGCATCTTCATCGTATGGACTGCCTGGATTCAGCTCTGAGCCTAGATGCTCAGGTTTTGGGAGTGGGTTTATACCATTGAAGCAAGTATGCTCCTGCATCTGTTTGGAGAGAAGTCTGATCTAGCCATCATGACAGATGCCTTTGTTATCTCTCGATTGGATTATTGCAATACGGTTTACCTAGGACAGCCTTTAGAAAGTGTTTAGAATCTTGAGCACACCCAAAATGCTGCACCCAGGCTGTTGATTGGAGCCAGTTTTAGTGGGAATAGAAATTCTGTGCTAAAACAACCTCACTGGACACCAGTCTGTTAACCAGCCAGAATTCAAAGTGCTGGTAATGACTTACAGAGTCGCAAACACCTTGGGTCTAGGCTGTCTGCAGGACTGTACATCCTTATATGACCTTGCTGTGGTCTCAAGATCCTTGGGAAAGATCTCGCCCACTAGTTTCACTGATAAGTTTAATGATGACAAGAGGGTGGCCCTTTTTGGTGACTGCTCCCAGGCCATGCTGCTCCCTTTGGAGGAGACTAGGCTGAGCCCGTCCCTGTTATCCTTCCACCGGAAGGCAAAGGCATTTTTGTTCAGAGAGACCTTTGGCTCCTAATCAAAGAATAAGAGAGGGCTTTTTGATGGCAGTTTTGTTGTTCAATATTATTTTCATAATATGATTTATCATGGATTTTTTATGATATCTGTTTTTACCTTCATATTGTGAGCTACCTTAGCTGCTGCGAGGGACCATAATTAAATATATAGCACATCTTTACCTATTCAGGTAAAGCAGTGTATGTTCATGGCAGCATGTATAAATAATATGGAAAATGTCCTCAGTCCATTATTCATCTCACTGTCTGGGCACTCTGCAGTTTTTGTAGCTCCTTCAGTTTCTCCTCCCTGCTTTCAGACTGTCAGATGTAAAATGCATGGCAAGTCCTTACATGCCGTTTTGAAAGCTGGCCTGTCCAGGAGACCACATACAGTACTTGCAGACCTGACAGTGTCAAGTGGGGAAGGCGGACAGGGACTGGAGTCCCAGGGAAGCAAATACCTCTTCAGCAATACTGTAGATTTAGAGCCTTACTCCACCAGATGTTCTCTCAGGCAGTTTTCTGATCTTAATTCATTTTATTGTTTGCCGTGCTTTGTTTGATCTTTTCCATTTCTGTTGCCTAGTGAAGATTCCCCCCCTCCTCTACCCATGTGTCTTAATCTTGGCATTTGTATGTATCTGCCCCCGGGGCAATGACAGGGGCAGACTCCCCTATGATTGGTAAGTTCAGCAAGCCGCATTTAGCTATCATTTGGGAATAGGTTGCTTACTTGAGCAAGCCTAGAAACCACAGGCTGTCACTTGACTCTAAACTGGTTATATCCAAGGTTGGGATAATGACACAGTTCAGCATCAAGGCTTTCCTGGGCTGTGGGTGGGGTGGGGTGGGTGGCAGATGGTGTCTGTACTCTTGACTCTTAGCTGCTGAAAGGGCTCTTGAAATCACTGGTGAGAAATAGGTGAAACTCTTAAATTACACATCAGCAGGTTTGGTAGAAGCAGTTCTTTCATCCCAGCTGTGTATGGTATCTTCCTCTTTCCTCCATACTTCCTGGCTTCTCTGTATACTTGGGGCTCTCCCTCCACCCCACTGGGCTTGTTGGCTTTCCCTTCATTTAGAAAACGTCAAAGCCCAGCCCCTTTCTTCTGCATCTTGCATTTCTTCCTGTCCAGAATTGGCTCTGTTTTTGAAAAGACTGTCAGGAAAGTATCTTCAGGCAGACCTTCTTTTAAGGAATGATTTTCTAATAAATCACTATGGTGCTGTTGTTCTCCCCCCCCCCATAGTTGTGTTAAACATACCTAGCTAACTATCAAACCTGTTGAGTGTGGTATCTCTCCTGTTGCTGCTGCTGTTGCCGTTTTAATAAAATCAATGCTTCAGCAATGCTCATTCATTCATTTCACTACTCCAGATACTCATCCTTACCTGTTTGGACTCAGGTGAGTAGATGCAGATGCAGAAACATCCCTTTTATCTGGGCTACACTGATTAGAAGTACCGAAGCAGGAATTACACTTCAGGGTAACAGAACCATTGTGGTGGAGGCTAACGAGTGAGCTTCTCTAGTGTGCAGATTGTCTTTTGACATGGATGCATCTTTCTTTTGCAATGATATAGGAAAGCAATGTGTCATGTTATGTTTATAATGTTTATGTTTATAATGCTAATTGTCTTTTGACATGGATGCATCTTTCTTTTGCAGTGATATAGGAAAGCAATGTGTCATGTGACATGCCAGTGGAGATGGGCATGAACCGGTTCTTCCTGGTTCATCCCAGTTTGTAAAAGCGGCAGAATAGGAACTGCTGCTCTCATCCCCTGCCTCCTCTGACGCAATCAGCCACTCACCAGGTCCAGCCTTCATGAACTTCAGCTGATCATCCAGTCCTGGCAACAGCTCCGGCTTCTCTCCCACTCAGACAAAAGGGCAGAGCAGAGAAGTGTGTGCTCTTGCTTGTGACTGGGAGATTTACCAAGGAGGTGGAAAAAACAAGCAAGCTGGGCCTGGTGAGTGGCTGATTAGCTGAGAAGGTGGGGAAGGGGAGGAGCAGCACCTGTGCTGCTGCCTTTACTAACTGGAATGAACTGGTTTGTTCCCATCTCTACATGCCAATCTATTTGGCCATATATACACTGTTATCTGCTCTGGCTACTGCCATGTTAATTTTTTTAGTAAGAGATTAAACCTGGAATCTTTAGTATTAAAAAGCAGGAAATCTTTCCCATTCTGCTATGGTCCTTTCTCAGATACTTATTCACAGGCACTCCTCACTTAACGACCAAGTTCCGCTTCTATAACTAGGTTGTTAATCACATGGGTCAATAAATGAGGAGCAATAATACTGTATGGAAGAGTAATAAATCACGTGTCATGGAGGAGAGGCATAGCAAAGATGCAAACACACATTTACAAGAGTCGTAAGTGTTATAAATCCAAGCAGTCATTAAACAGGTAGATTAAGTGAGGAGTGCCTGTATTTACTGGTTCGTTCGTTCGTTCATTCCTATTTTTAACCACTGCGCCTCGTGGCGCAGCGGTTAAAACGCTGTACTGCAAGCTAAAACTGTGCTCACGACCTGGGGTTCAAATCCCAGGTAGCCGGCTCAAGGTTGACTCAGCCTTCCATCCTTCCAAGGTCGGTAAAATGAGTACCCAGCTTGCTGGGGGGAGGCAATGTGTAGCCTGTATAATTAAAAAAAAAAATTGTAAACCGCCCGGAGAGTGCTTGTAGCGCTATGGGGCGGTATATAAGTCCAATAAATAAATAAATAAATAATAAATAATTAGTGCAAGGCACTACTCTGTTCGATTAACAGACAAATAAAGCAAATACAATAAGAAAATAGTAAGAAAAAGCTATAAGCAAAGAAATAATAAGACAAATCAGTAACATGAACAGAAACGTCAAGAGTATCAATAATGATCAGACAGGTAGCACAAATTTAGCAAATTCATTAGAGGGCACCATTGAAAGCTTCTTTTAAAAGCAGTGTTTTAAGCATCCTCTTGAAGGTTGAGAGGGAGGGGACCAGACACAGCTCAGCCAGCAGCCCATTCCAAAGGTCTGGCGCCACTGTCAAGAATGTGCAGTTTTTGGTGGATGTCTTTTCCCTACTGAATATTTATCCCACCTTTTCAGCCAGGAACACAGGAAGAATCCAGTTACTTTTATGCATATCTGCACACATGTTTTCTAAGTAATCCTGTGCAGTAGAGCAGGGGTCTCCAAAATCTGGCCTGCGGGCCACATCCAGCCTGCCTTGCCTTTTTATCCAGCCCACGTGCATTCTTTCAGCTCTCGAAAACGTGGAAAATATATTATGTGGCCCTCATGGTATAAAGTTTGGAGCCCCTTGCAGTAAGGATAAGTTGAGAGAAAGTGATTTGCTCAAGGCAATCCCAGTGGACTTCATGGGTCAGTCAAGAAACCTTAATTGTTATTTTCTGGTGGCAATGAAAAATATTCCCTCCCTGTGTGACATTAGGGAGCTCTTTATAGAGGCTGGTTATAAATGTTCTTGCTTGTTTTATTGGGTTATGTTTATTTCCAGAAATAAGCAGCTGGATCAAAGTGACTTCCACATTTTGAGAAGTTTACAGCTGCTCTACGGTAGCTTGAACTTAAATTCTGCACCTGTATTAGAGAGATTCTTGTACCTGAAAGTGTGACAATATACTAATACACTTGTACGTATTTGGCTACTCTCCAAATGGCAAAATGATGTCACCTTGGGAATTCCATTGAACCTCAGAGTACAAATACGTAAGATAAACAAATCAAAAAGATGTGAAAATTAATTGGCATACGAGAGACAGGGCTGGCCCAGGAACATTTTGAGGAGCCCAGTGGCAGCATCTCAGAAGCAACATTATTTATTTATTTATTTATTTATTTACTTACTTACTTACTTACTTACTTACTTACTTACTTATTATCCCGCCTATCTGGTCTTGCGACCACTCTGGTCTATAAAGTTTTGGGAGTTGCAGCCCAACTTGTCAGATGCCTTCAGTGGCCTGAGAAGTTGGTTAACACCTGCAGGTGTGCTTCTGCAGCAGGATAGGACAGTTACTTTTTGTATAGGCTCATTTCCTTGTTGTCGTTTTCTCAGTACTGTATTGTTGCTTCCTGCTGGTGGCTTCTTGGGCACAACTGCCCATTGTGTTCACAGCAAAGCTCAGTGCTGCTGGAGTGTGGAAAACCTACAGTCTCTCACCACAGAGGCTTGAACCACTTCCTGTGATGCTTTGCACCTGGCAGCAAATCCTGTGGTTACCATGAGTTATAAATACAAGGGCATGGCACATATGTGAATTTGGCATGAGGAAGAGAGGCTTCCCATTGTTGCTTCTTGATAGCAGGCCGAAGTGTTTTAGGAACTAAAAGCTAGGAGGGGCAGGCAAGATACGGGTACCAGGTGCACATTAGATGTGGAGCCCGCAGGGCAGCCTCAGATGTCTGGAGGTGGTGCACGCGCACTTACAGTCACACACATCGAGAGGCTCCTCTCCCCTCGGATCATGCTCCATCCATTTCTCGTTGTGAAGTCATGTTGCAGACTTAAGCGGGGGAAGGACAGTCCAAAAAGAATACAGTATAGGGTGCGTAGTGTGGGCAGACGGGGAATAAAGTTATCATCATCATCATCATTTTAGAACTGCAGAGCTGGAAGGGACCCTATGGATCATGGAGTCTAGCCCCTGCCAAGGAGGCCCAGTGGGGAATCGAACTCCCAACCTCTAGCTCCACAGCCAGAGACCTAAACCACTGAGCTGTTCAGAAGTTTATTGTTTGCTGGTGCCAAAGTGCTGTGCTTAGCTTAGCTTAGCTTAGCTTTTCAGTGACTGCCGCTAGTAATAGCCATGATCATTATCAATTGTTATCGATGGGGATTGCTGATAGAAACTTAGTGTTGGTACAGAGTAGAGAGCATTTCTCAGACAGTGCGCTGAGGGCTATCAGCAGGCCTCAGGCCACTTTTGGGTGAGTCAGAGTACTGCAGCCCACTTAGGATACTTCCTTAGTTGACTGTCTGTCTTGCAGTCTTCTAGGCTTAACTACATAGTCAAAATACCACAGGATTTGCTCCATTTATAAAATGGGCAGATTCGAAGTATTTTGTACTAACGGCTTGATGCAAAGGCAGATTCAAAGTTGTCCAGCCTTTTTTGCTTCCAAAGTGGCTTTTTTTTTGTCTCTGCTGCTGGAGGTCTTCTATTTTTTTTCAAGCTGGAAGGATTCAAATGGGCCTTTTCCCCATTAGTTGTGATAGGTTCTTGTAAAGACAGGGTTTGGGTCTGTAAGTGGTGTTTTGAAGATGCAGCGTGTGGAGACGTGGTGTTCAGGACCAGGGAGGCAGGCCCACACATTTTTTCCACTCCCCCTCAAGCATCCTCCCCCTCAATTGCTCCGACTGGGCCCTCCAGCTGCCACCTCCACTACCTCAGAAAAACATCCTGGCTTTGGGCAGTGGCACCAAGGACTGGAGGTTGGCAGGCGGGTGGATGTCAGAGCGAGGAGGGGGAACAGAATTAAAGTGGCTGGGGGGAAATGTGGCTCCCCTTCTCTGAGAGCAAAAGGGCCAGAAGGGGCTTAGAAAGAAATTTCAGAGGGAAAATGGGTTGGGAATGTGCTTTGAAAAACCAACAAAATACAGAGGATGGGCATTAAGAGAGGGTCTGTTTGTCTGAGAAGAAATGGGTGTGAGAGCAGCCAGATGGAGGCAGTTGTAAGGCATAGAATAGTGGTTCAATGTGGAAGGAGAAATGGAGGAGAACTTACAGGAGACAGTGAACAAGAATATGAGAAGGACTGAGAGGAGGGGAAATACAGCAGAAGAAGACTTCTCCATTTAGATCCTCTGAATCAGTAAATTGTGCCTGAAATGGAAAGGCTGTCATTATACCTCTGCTGCCTCAGTCTGTGCTTAGTATGAGGGAACTTGGGGAAAGTTGAACTGTGGAATTGCTGTCACACAAACACACAAACAAACTGTGGCAAAACATTTAGCAGTTTCCAAAAAGAATATGGGTGACAAATTACCATTTCTCAGCTCAGCTTGGCATCTGCAATATGGAGGTGATGACTGGGAATATCATCTTACTGGATTATTGGAAAGTAGAAATTTTCTGGGGTTTACCCAGAAGCTTGTGTTAAAGTTACCTTGGAATCAGTGAGACTCCTTTCCCAACTAGCTTTGCAGCCTGAGGGATTCCTGGAGACTTAGTCTAAAAACGTGATTTATCAGTGCTCTTTCTCCAAGGAGCAGCCAGTATAATAAACATGGCAACTTCTCTGGAAGTCTCTTAGAAAAGCATTGACACCTCATAGGCGTCCATGTGAGCAGCGTGGCATTAAAGGGCACTTTGCTGTTTCATTGGCTCTCCTCTGGACCTTGACAAAGGGGTGACCAGCTCATGCCTTCTGTGAGTAGCCCATTATTTTTCAGCTGTTGTGGACTTGGGTAGCTTTTGAACTTGCTACCCCTTTGCTTGGTCCTTTCCCAATCATCCTCTCCTCTGACCTTCACAGATCGGTGTCTTGTAATGTTTTCAGATAAGAAGGAACATTTGTTCACTAAAGCAAAAGAAAACTGTTTCAATTTGGGCTCCACTGTCCTCAGAAATGGGATTCAGTCTCTTTGACTCTTCTGCATAGTTGCCAGACTGGCTGAGCACGGCACCCCCTCTAACTTGATCTGTTCTGTTCCAGATTACTTGAAAGACGAGTTGGACAACTATGTGAAGCAGCTGCAGATCGTGCGGGTCGTCCGGCAGCAAGAAAGGAAAGGTTTAATAACTGCCCGGTTGCTGGGTGCCAGCGTTGCTACGGGAGACGTGCTCACCTTCCTAGATGCTCATTGTAAGGAATCACTCCCTCTGCTGAGGACTCCAATCTCTGATGCTGCGCTTTGGGGTGCCAGGTTTTTTTTCCCCCAACACAAAGACGGTTCACACATGCACACATATTAGTTGATTACTGCATCACAGGGTGCTTTTTCGTACATATATACTCAGTGTTTGATGGCTGTGTTGTTGAATAATGAGCTCCTTAACCATATTCAGTCTTCTCACCAAAACATTAGCCAATTTTTTTAATTGAGTCCAATAGTAACACAAGATAAGATTTACATTGAGATTTATATTATGGATGTGACTCTTGTGTTTTACCTTCCATGTGCAATTGTATTGTAAGATCTGTTGACTGTATCACTTAACAAAACAGACTTTTGTAACTGCTTACAGACCAAGCTATATGCTGCAGATAACCTGTTGTTAGAGAAGTTAGAAGTCCATTAATGTCACAGAGACATGATTCAGTTACATCTTCATGGTGGAGCAGTCGTATCTGCAAAAGGTGCCATTCTTTATAGCTGAAGACTACAGAACAAAAGAAAACTAATATGCAAACTATAGGAGCTATTTTAAAAATCCTGCTGTGACTATGAGATGTTTCTGGACTGAAGGAATTCTCTCATCCAATTACAGACCCTCTGTGGTGTATGGTTTGGCCCTAGTTTTGCATAATGATGATACTTGATATCAATCACTAAAGGTCACTGTGCCTCTTTAAGACCTAGTGCTAGCTAGAATGTGTTAAACCATGGAATTACTGGTGCCCAGCAAAATTACTACTGAGGTAACAACTGGTTTTCGAGACTAAACATTTCAACCTGGAAGCAGGATGAGGGAGATGCAAATGAACAGAAACCGAAGGCATTAAGAAAAGTATACTCTGCGTGTCACTCTTTGGTGATGTGATCAGTGGCCTTTTGTAAGAGTGTTATGGAAATATCCACATAAGAGTATGGATATTTCCATAACAAGAGGAAGCAGGAAAAGATAGAAGTGGCTATACACGTTGACCTCTATTTGCAAGGCAGATGCTGACAAGGAAAAGTCATTTGTGAAGGGAGATGCAAATGAACAGAAACCGAAGGTATTAAGCAAAGTAGACTCTGCGCGCCACTCATTGGTGAGATGATCAATGGCCTTTTGTAAGAGGAAGCAGGAAAAGATAGGAGAAGTGACTGTATGTGTTGACCTCTATTTGCAAGACAGATGCTGACAAGGAAAAGTCATTTGTGGAAGAACTGATGAGCTAGAAATGGTATAGGAAAATGTTTTGAAGAATAGCAATTTAGAAAATCTAAATCATTCAGCTACAGGTGACATGGCCCTTCTTGTTTTCTTTTCTTAGGCGAATGTTTCCATGGCTGGTTAGAGCCTCTCTTATCACGTATCGCGGAGGAGCCCACTGCTGTGGTTAGTCCAGATATCACCACCATTGACCTGAACACCTTTGAATTTTCCAAACCGATTCAGTATGGGAAGCAGCACAGCCGGGGTAATTTTGACTGGAGCCTGACCTTTGGATGGGAGGCCATCCCTCAGCATGAGAAGCAGAGGAGGAAAGATGAGACTTACCCTATCAAGTAAGTTCATGGTAACCAAGATCTTTCTGTACATACTCTTTTATATGTTTTGGTAGAACTATCCTCCCCAATGTGATGCCCTCCAGATGTCTTGGACTTCAATTCCCATGGTCACTCACCCCTGGCTGTGGTAGCTGGTGCTGATGGAAGGTGAAGTCTAAAACGTCCAGATCAGAGTTTGGGCAACTTCAGAGGATCCAGTAGGAATTCCCCACTTCCTATAGACCCATCCAGAGAAACCAGAGGTGTCTAGAAGGTCACTTTCAGTTTGCAGGAGGATGGCTAAACAAAGGGTGGGGAGATAATACAATAGGAAAAGGCTAGCCTTGTATTAAAGTGAAATTGAGCCTCTGGAAGCACTATCATCTTGGATTTCCTGCCAAAACTGTTGAAGGGATCTTTCAGAACTGGAAAAACAGCCTTGAGGGCTGCATCCAGCCCATAGGCCATATATTTCGTACCTCTCACCTCAAAGATGTCAAGGTTGATTTACAGTGTAGAAAAGAGGTAGATGGGAAGACCATTGTATTAAGATGAGATGGCATATGCTTTCCAAAAACATCAGTTCTGATTGCTGAAGTTTTGAAGGCTTTAGTAGAGTTTCCAAGCCCTAAGCTATGGGAACTGAGTTCTCCATCCTCAGCTTGGCTTTTCCCTCATTCACCCCACCCATAGCTTGCATTTTTTTTAAAAAAAATGTAATTTGTTCCATTTAAGTTACATAGTGCCATTGACTCACTGGCTTGTTACGTCACTTGTTGCTAGGACATTACTTTTGTAGGGAGTAATTAATTTTAAGAATACACTTAAATACAGAAATGGGTAAATATGCAGAAATGTAAAGAGAAGTTTGTCTGTGTTTTTAAAATTAAGTTTATTATAGAATAACAACCCTGGACTTCAAGGTAATTGGCTGTTACAATGATTCGCCCAAATTGTCAACAGTCCTTAGCAAAACTGGGAACCTTTCAGTTGTCCCTTTGGGTGGTGTGTGGGGGATATATAAGCATAGCCCTTCGTGTAAACAATCTCTGTCACAAACACATACATTAATTGATTTCTCTGCACCCATTTACTAGATGCAGGGGTGATAGGCAGCGGAAAGTGTCTGCACTATTTTTAAGTAACAAAAGGAAAATATATATTTTAGATTATTTTATTGCCATGATGAGCCTGTTACACCCAACGCCCTGCTTTTGATTACTCATTTGGGGGGGAGGGATTTAGGGCCACTTTTGCTTTATTACAGAATCAAAAAATCACTGACATCCTTAAAAAGTAAAGCAAGAACAATTAGTAGTATAACAATCTGTTCTTTTATCGCTAGATAGTGCCTCAGGGAAGCCAAGCTTCTACAAGAAATAAGGCTGGGAATCTAACAAATTACCATAATTCCCAGGAACATCCATTTTCAGATTCCTTTGTCAAGCAGAACACTGGTTATGCTTACGGAGAAGGCGGGTGTGTTTGTAAGGTGCTCTCCTCTCCTCGCTCCCCCTGCATTGGAGGAATAAGAATTGAGGTTCTTGCCCTCCTGCCATATTGTTGGGCTATAATATAAGGGGTCGTAAATCGCTCAGCCTAGTCAAAGTTCTCTGAGACACAATGGTAGGATTTTCTTTTCTCTCCCCCTCCCTTCGTTTTTGTTTCTGGTGTATAAAAGAAGGATAATGAGAGCCATGACATGAAAGACTCAAGGTTTCACCCCCTTTCTTTTCAAACTCTGCCAGCCTCTTGTCTGCTTTGGCAGTGGGCAGCTGCAGAGTCATTAGAGTAACCAGTATCCCAACCTCTTAAAGCTTGGAATGACCTTGAATTCATAAAGTGGAAGACATTTAATACCGGTCCTCCTCATTGCCACAGCGAGACAAAATCCTGTTCCTTTGGCCTCAAGTACAGCTCTTCTTTGTGCAGAGGTCAGACAGGAGACTGTTCTGCCCCAGTGAAAGGGGTCTTGGAGGATTCCTTTTTTGGTTATTTGGAGAGAGAGAGAGAGAGAGAGAGGCTGGCAGCTTTGCTTGTCAACAGCTTCTAATCTCCCCTGGCCCCCTCTGTAGGTAAGAACAGAGTGGTGTCTTAGAGAGAGCCTCCTCGAAACAACTTTTCAGCTGCTGTCTCCACTTTTCTCCCCCTTAAGACCAGACAGACACAAAGACAGAGAGAGAGAGAGCTCTGAGGTAACAGACTGTGAAAACAGGGCAAGTTGAAAAGCTTAGTCCCCAAGTGCTCTCCATCCTGGATTGGTGGGATGCATTTAAGGGAATGATACCCAAGACCAAATAAGGCTGCCCTGCCTGCTTCTAAGCAGCTCTCCTTCAGTCCCTTAATGAATAAGAACTACCATGAGCGCCTTCTGCTTTTGATGTCATATGGCAGAGGATGCCCTCAAATTTTCTCCTCCTTAATTCTGCCTGCCCTCCCCCCACATCAGCCCCCATAACAACAACAGACGGTTCCATATCTCTCTAATAGTAATCTCGACCCAGTTGTTTGCATTCTTCTTTCAGGGCCCACCTACCTCTCAGCTCCAAAATGTGTTGGATTAAGGGCAAGTGGGGGACAATGGGGAAAGAGACCCATGAATGCTCAGTGATATCTTTGGTTCCATCCTCAGCCACCCTCTTGCCCCTTGAAGTCTTAGGAGCAAAATAAATGGATGAAAGGGAGTGGCTACACAGGCATTTATCCTGCTGTTAAACCTGCTGTGGGGACAGGCTGGTTTGCTCCTTTTGCCAGCAACCAAACAACATAAGTGCCAGCCCATTTCCAGAGTGTTCCAACCTGCACCTTTCTGGCTCCATGTNCTTTTGCCAGCAACCAAACAACATAAGTGACAGCCCATTTCCAGAGTGTTTCAACCTGCACCTTTCTGGGTCCATGTCAGGAACTAGTGGGGTTTTTTGTTGTGTTTTTTGTTTTTGTTTGTTTGTTTGTTTGTTTGTTTGTTTTTAGCTGTGAGTAGGATTGCTCTGTTTTGGTTCATTTCCAGCATATGTACGTAGTCACTGAGAACAAACCAAACTGGAGCTTCCTGCTTTAAATTTCCCTTCCACTTTCCCACTTAAGAAGACAACTTAGCCTACTTCAAGATATTGAGAAATTTAAAACTTCCTGTGTTTCTCCCTGGAGGGGGAGGAAGCAAAGGTTTTTTTAAAAGCCTGTTAGGATAGCACTGAAGCGCTTATACCTTTTCAGTTGTTTAAAAAATTGAAAGCTTCCTCCCAGGAGTAGGAAAAACATGGAGGCAAAGAGTGGATTTTTTTTAAATTGTTTTCTTAAGGAAGGTGGGCCAAATAGGATTTTGTGCATGTGTGCAACACACACATACCCCTAAGTCTCTCCTAGAGTTGAAATATTTGCATCCTATCTTTCTATCTGATAGCAGGCCTCCAAGATGTTGTAGAATAACACAAAGTTAAAATGTAAGAAACGTAAGGTTTAAAATAACACGGCAGTGATAACTGGAGACGTTTCTGTTTTCCGTGGGCTCTTCACTGGTTCTGTGAACATTATAGGCAAAAATATGCCCCCTACCCCAGTTCATCCCTGGATTTGATGGGTCTAGAAGAGCATCTCCTTTTGGGAAGCCAAACTTGTGTGTTCATATCAGTGGCAGATGAGACAGTAGGGGAGTGGGGTTGCTATTTGTTCACGTTCAGGGCTTTGGTTATTTATTTTAAACATTTTTCTTCTGCGTACTATTGCTGAAAGAGCCTTACTACCCCATTTTTAAATATAAGAAAGACAGTTTAGCGGGCTTACATCTGTGGTATCAGGCATCGGTCTTAATGACTCATAGGGTCAAGCAAAGGTCTGCATGTCTAAAATGTTGTTGCTGTTGTCATTGTTATTGTCATCTAATGAGGTTTCTGCTGCATTAGTAGTTAAAAAAACAGGTGTGGCCCTGAAGGGGTGATTCATAGTCGTATTCATAGGTTTAAAAAATAAATAAAGCAATAGATCAGGCCACTTCCGAAAAGCCTGGTTGAAGAAGCAGGTTTCATGAAGCTGCCCAAGCCTTGCCTCAAAGCCTCAGGGATCTCGGGCCAAAGGCCCTTTACTTTCCCACAGCGCTAATCCCTGTCCATGAGGGTAAGGTTTGCTGGCTGTGCTGAGAGAGGTATTCCCTAAGAGAGGCAGTCATGCGAAGGGACTTGGCCTGGAAGGGACAAACCTTAGGCCTGCCTAGGGGAGCAGTGGAGTGCAATCCCCCTTGGCTTTTCAGAGAGGATGAGGAACGTGGGTTACTTGGTCTGTGAGAGCCTCCGCTTGGCTGAGGTTTGTGTCATGTTCTTATCATTCCCACTTTTTTTTTTGCAGGACTCCCACCTTTGCGGGTGGCCTCTTTGCCATTTCCAAGTCCTATTTTGAACACATCGGCTCCTATGATGATCAGATGGAGATCTGGGGAGGGGAGAATGTGGAGATGTCCTTTCGGGTAAGAAGGTTCAGTTGGCTCCTGGCAGGAAGCAAGCCTTTTGTGTGCTGGAGAAGGCCGTCCGTGGCCCAGCTATCCTAATCGGCACGGCACATTTTATTTTTACTTGGTCAAGAGAAAAGCGGAAGTCCCAAGATGGCTGTGCACAACTATTGTACTTTGGGTTGTGCTTAAACAGGTGTAGCTTGACAAGATGTGAGGGAAACTCATGTGCTGCAAGCAAGGGCACAGAAGCCATGCTGCTGTGGCCTCTCCCTAGGTCCTCCCTGACATATTAAGGGGGGAGAAGCCCTGCAAGACCTGCCTTCCCCCTTCTGGATCCAGGCTCCCAAATACAAACCAGGTGACAAGGATGAAAACCACGGAGAAGAGGGTTCCTGTGGTCAGACAGGTCGTGGGGGACAGCCCACAGTGGATGCAGGCCAACTGTGTCTGTGAACAGACATTCTGCACACCGATGCTGTAGATGCTTTCCACTGGATTGGGGTCACCAGGGGCAGGATATTTAGTGATAGCTGGCTCCTTCTGCTGGTGTGAAGGTTCAGCAACATTGCTAACACTGAAAATCATAATTTTCAACCTCATACTATAAAAGAAGTTCTGCTGTATTTGATTACAGCAAGCATTTCAACTGCACATTGCTGCAAAAGGTGAGAATGACTAGAAAGGTATGAAGCATGGATCCTGTATTTATTTATTGTTTTGATGTACACAGAAAGAGGCAGTCCGCTGAAGTGGCATGCAAACGGTGCTAAGTTACAGTTATGCACCTTTTGCTCCCTCTCCACTGAAAAATTTCTCACAGGCATTCCTGGTAGGAACTGTGCAGCCCCTCAAGGCCTCCATCAATAAATGATATTGATTATAATTTCAGGCCCAGAATGGGGACTCATACCCTTTAAGGTGTGCAGATTTGCTCCTTAATGACCATTTCACAGATTTTTTGGGGGAGGGGGTGTCCCAAAGTAGTATTTTATTTTCCTCAAAACTGAAAGGGGCCATGCACCGTCCGTTGCAATGTCTGTGTTGGTGACATCAATATAAAGCTAATTTGCAAACAGCAGCTTTAAAATGCTAACTGCTATACGGGTTGCCACGCTGTGGCAGCACAAGAAAAGAAAAGGTCAGGAATACAAATTCCCAACAAGGGTCTCCTGTTGAGGGTTGTGCTTGGCTGCTCACAAAAATATTTTTGTTGTACCTAAGCTGAAACAGCCCTAACTGGGGCAAAACCTGGATTTCTTCCTAGTCCTGGGCAGCTGTTAAAAGTTTACAGAGCATCAGCTGTAAGGCAGAGGTAGAAGTGGAATGTGATCAGAAACAGAGAACAGGAGAATGGGTGAACCCTTCTTCTTCAGAGTTTTCATGATAATAATTGAACCCCAATCTGTTGTTGGTCCTACTGTGGCAGCTTCCTTACTGAAGAAATGGTTTCTGATGGGGAGGAGGGGGTTCCCCTCCCCACCCCCAATGTATCATGATCCTGGGCCTGATTTTATTCCCCTTGTTTGAAAGAGACAGAAAAAAATGTAAAATATAGTGATAGATTTTATATATTATCTAGTTAAGCCCAGGTGGATTCTGGTGCTTCACTTAAGGCAGGAATGGCCAAGATCTGAGGGCTTGGGAACATGTCAAGCTCTTACCCCCTACTACAAACCACATCAGACCCCAAAATGATGAATGAACCAATCAATGAATGGAGAGAGAGAGAGATTTAATGAAAAATGAAACAGGAAGTACAGTGGTGCCTCGCTTAACGGGCGCCCCGTTTAACGATGAAATCGCATAGCGATGAAGATTTTGCGATCGCAAAAGTGATTGCATTGCAATGTTTTAAATGGGGCACTATGCGAGGCACCACTGTACTTAAAATTGGTGTTTCTATTTGTTTAGGGGAAGCTTGAAGGGAGAATATTCAGGAGTAACTATGGCTCTTGGAGTTACTTTGGCTGAAATTCTGTAAAATCTTTCAGTGTTCAGGACTTTAAGGGCCACAGAAATGCCCCTGTGCTTCACCCATCTTGGCTTTAAGGGCTTGTGGTTTCCTGTTGGCACTGAGGGTACACTCTCTCCCTCCCCCCCTTTTTTCCCTTTCTTTCTCCACCCCCCCCTTTCCAGGTTTGGCAGTGTGGGGGTCAGCTGGAGATCATCCCCTGCTCAGTGGTGGGCCATGTCTTCCGTTCCAAGAGTCCCCATACCTTCCCCAAAGGAACCCAAGTGATCTCTAGGAACCAGGTCCGCCTGGCCGAAGTCTGGATGGATGACTACAAGGAAATCTTCTACAGGAGGAACCAGCAGGCCTCTCAGATGGCTAGAGAGGTATGAAATCAGCTTTTCTGGAAGGCTGGCTCTAAAACATTAAAAACCATTTGCCAGTGTTTCAACACGCAGGGGTTCCTAAGCACTTTGCACAAAGCCCCACTGTGTCCCAGCACCCAGAGTGCCCATCCATTAACCTCGCTAATGGGGAGAGCTACTGGCCGTTGAAAGAACTGCTGGATAGCTCAGCAGTTTGGGTTTCTGACTGCAGAGCCAAAGACTGGGAGTTTAATTCTTCACTGTGCCTCCTTGAGAGGGGCTGGACTTAATGAGCCATAGGGTCCCTTCCAGCTCTGCACTTCTAGGATTATGATGATTTACCAAACGATGGTGAGGGGCTGTTCTCAAACTCCAACCATCTGAAAGGCAAAGCAGCCTGGAGGCTTTGGAGGCTGTAACATGTGGCTGTAAGATGTGTTCCAAACCATTGCAGAATCTGGCTTAAATGTTGTCCATGGGTTACCCAAATCATTGAATGAAGAAAATGAAAGGATAGTTTGTTCCAGGGTGTGTAATCCTGTGCACAAGGAATAAATGGATTCTGCACAGTAGTAGGTTTGGGATGCCCCTTTGTTATGTTTCCTCCCCAACCCCCTAACCCACACATGTCATCATTTTGTCAGAAAACATACGGAGACCTGGTAGAGCGACTCCTGTTGAAGGAGCGGCTGCACTGCAAGAACTTCACCTGGTATCTACAAACTGTCTATCCTGAGATCTTCATCCCAGACCTTACTCCAGCCTTCTATGGAGCTGTAAGTGCAAATCTGCCAGCCTGCCCATCCTATTTCCCCTACATGAAGAGCTACCCTGCCAGATTGTATTTCTCAGTCTCCAAGAGTGGCTGGGAAAGTGACCCAGAAATTCATATTTGGGGGGGGGGCACAAATAACCATCCTATAGCTTTGCACCAGCTCTGGAGAGGACATGCCCAGGTTTCTGCCGTGGCCCTTTCTCATCATTGGATTGATGGTGTGTTCTAGCTTGAGGATGGAAACCACTGCTCTAACGTGAGCAAGAGAGAATTTTCAGGGGAAGTTGTTGTTCTTGATGAACGGGAGTCACCCAAGGCCACACTTGAAGTATAGGCTTGAAGTCCACACTACAAGTGTTGCTGTTCTTTCCTCTGCTAAAGCTGGCGTTTATTCTTAGTGTGGAAGACAAAGGGTTGCATTTGGGAGAGGCTGTTTCAGTGAGGCAAGATCTGGATGACCAGCTTTGAGAACGTGCAAGGTAGCCCCAGAAAGAGAAAGGACTCTCCCCCGCCTCCCACCGGCTTCCCTTTCTAAAGGCATCTCCTGAGCTGTGAGGAAAGCACAATGTGTTTCTGAAGGTTCCCTCCCCCCAAAAAAATCCAGGGAGAGATTTAAAAAGAAAAAAAATCCAGAGCCAAAGTAAATGACATCACTATCTGTGAAATGTCACTCATTAATCCATCATAACTATGGAAGGAGGGCCATGTCTTAATTGCTTTTCATCCCTAAAGGGAAGTCATGTATTTGCTAGCTTTACTAGGTGAAATTGGCTATGTGGCATAAAGTAATCCTACCGGAACAGGCTATTAGAAAGCACTGACACTTGCTTTGTCAATATTTACTTTTCAGCTTCTGGACTCTTGATTCCTGCAAGAAACCAGTCTAACTGCTTTCTTGAGGACTTGGAATTCTCTTTTAAAACCCGATAGGATCTTCTTCTGTCTTTTTTTTTAAACATCTCTTTGCACCCATTTATGATTGAGCACACAAATTGTGAGTTTTGCGCCCCTCTCCATCTCCCTCCCCCACCCCAGCTCCAGTGCAGCAGCCAAGAGAATTGGTGTACTCAGTGTGTGCTTGTCTAATCTTTACTCAAGAAAATCTGCAGCATGGACAGTAACATGGAGCAAATGTACAGAAACTGAAGGCTTAGCATTGCCTGCCTTGCTAGTGTCCATACAGAGCGGGGCTGGAAAATATGAGAACCCTTTTCCTTTCTTAAGTGTTAAACTACTCTAGATCAGGGATGTTTACTTCAAATGTTTATCTATTTATACACTGCCTCATAGCCCCACATTCTTATAGCAGCTTTCAGCAAAAAAATAGAAATGGTGCATGCTCATGTGTGTAAAGGTATAGATATGACGGGGCAAACACAGCAGATTTCAAACAGGGACAAGTTTATAGGACTTCAAAGATAGATGTGTATTTTCCTAGCGTCACAGTTTCGCCTACAAGTTGACACTGTCATTGACTCATTGTCTACAATGACTGAACATTTACAAATACTCCAAGTTCTGAAAGAAAAGATAAATGGCATGTAGTTAATGGCTGAAATCCAGTAGCAAGCTGTAAACTAGACTAGGTCCATTGAATCAGTGGAGAACGTCCTCCTCCATACCTTCCAATGGTTCAAATGGGCCTGCTGTAGTTGTGACACACTGCTGGATTTCAGGCTCTGAAAGGCAAATGGAATCCTAATAGGCCTGAAGTGGAAGATTCAAGATTGCATCTGCACACTGTTGATAGAAAGGAGTTTGTGGAGTGAAAAGGGACTATGTCTGCAATGTTTTGGCAACAGTAGAATCTGTTTTCTGAGCTCTGATGTCAGTTGGGTGTATTCCCCTAATTGTGTTGGGCTTGTTTGGTTGCAGATTAGAAATGAGGGTGCCAAACGCTGCCTGGACGTTGGAGAGAACAACCACGGAGGGAAACCGCTGATCATGTATCCCTGCCATGGCATGGGAGGCAACCAGGTATGGAATCAAAGAGAAGGTTAGGATCCACATGCCTTCTCATGCACAGGTGTACGAAACCACTCATCCACAGAGGGGGGAAGTACAAGCACAGGAAGCAGAGGCTGCAAAAGAAAGAGCAAGATCGACTCCTTCCTCCCCAAGGAGGATCCAGCAGAAACTTACAGAAACCAGCATCATGAATCTGTAGCTGTGTTATTAGGTGAACTTAGGTGAGATTTGTTAGTTTCAGCAGCCACTGCATTGCTTACACTGCATTCACCTATGAGCCATATCCCAACAGATGCTCCAGTAGAGTTTACTCCCAATGGTGTACATTCTCTCCAACTTTATTAATGCACTCCTTTTCAGTTTTTTAAGTAAAATAATCACTCTGATTTGCTTCATAAGAAGGTGCTTTAGACCACTGCTTTACTTTTCCTTTGTGTGTTTTTATTCCCCTCAGTACTTTGAGTACACCTCCCAGCGAGACCTGAGGCATAACATTGGCAAGCAGCTCTGCCTCCGATCCAAGACAGGGCCTGTGGAATTGGGAGACTGTTACTATACAGGGAAGCATTCCCGTGTGCCGGAAAATGAAGAATGGGAACTGACTAAGGTGAGTTGAAGTGGTGGCTTTCCTGGAGGTGGCCTGTGCTGCTGAACCTGCCTGCTCCCACCAAGCCACCAGGCTTTCACTACTTGGCCAGCCAGATATTTCTCACTTCTGCTGTGACTATGATTATAGCCTGGGCTGGGCTAACCAAGGACGCTACTTATCCCAGGATCCAGCTAGAGACCAGAGTTGCTCTTCTGATTCTGTCTACTGTGGGTGAGCTGGAGATCTCAACAGTTCTGTATGACAGCTGCAGCAGTAAGAGTTGAGCCCATTTCGGGGGAAGCTCTGGGGAGCCTTTTTGCCACTTCGGGAGGACCTGGCCTTACAAGGAAAAGTAGGAGTCAGAGAGTTTTTTCACAGTGCCACTTGCTTGCCTTCAGCAAAGTGGATAATTCAGATTTCACTCATGGTGAGGGCCAGGCCACAAAATTGGCTAACATTTAAAACTCATTAGAAAAAACTCCAATGAAGAGTGGCTCTTTATCAGTAGAGTATTTGGTCTAACAGCTGAATGGCTTAAATTAGCAGAAATTTAACAACTCATCTTCATTAAGTGGGGGTGGGGGTGGGGGGAAGGTTACAGGCAAGACATGAATTCACTGAACCCCAATGGGGCAACCTTGGGAGTTGTGAGGGAACATATTTATCATGTTCTAGCAAGGGGAAGACACATTGACTGTGGTGATCAGGCTCAGCAAATGATTTATTTGTTTTGTCTGTTAAAATCCTGTGTCTGGATTATTTGGAAGATTATAGTCAGATCTGGTATTGTCTCCACATCATCCTGGGTGCCCTTGGAGAGATGCTGTTCTTTGGAACGAGAGAGGACACCCATCATCTGTAGGACACCCAAAAAGAGTTCCTCCCTTATCACTTTGTTGGTAGCCCAAGTCTCCAATGGTAGCAGCAGCAGTAAAAACATGTTCCTTGTTTCACTTCAGATATGAAGGATATACTTTGAGGAATGTGACACTAGAGTAAGCATATGTCCTTGCTGCCAAAACATTGCAGATATATTCTCTCTATATTACAACTCTAAAAATGAATGCAACAATCCCATATTTGCTATTTGCAAAAAGGGGAGAGGGTGATGTTGGATTTCTGGAGGAGAGCCATTTGAAGCAGCACTGAGGAAATGTATACACTTACAGTTGGGAGATCTTGTAAAGATGATGCAGAAATGTGCAAGTTGTAGCCCTCCCTAGCCATCTGCTCTCCTGGATGGAGCTGGTGGGATTTGGAGTCTAACAACAGCTAGAGAACTTCAAGTTCCTCCATTTTGGCTTAAGGCAGTGGTTCCCAACCTTGGGTCCCCAGATGTTCTTGGACTACAACTCCCAGAAATCTAGGTCGGCACAGCTAGTGGTGAAGGCTTCTGTGAGTTTTCATCCAAGGACCCAAATTTGGGAGCTGCTGGCTTAAAGGAACCACCAAATACAGAGGGATCCTGCCTCTTTCTATCACACTCGGGAGGAAGCAATAAAGGAGTCCTCCTTGTTGGTGCTGGCAGATTATTGGTCCCCCTGCTGTTGGGCAGAGTTTTAAACTGAGTATGGGGTCTAGCAAGGCAATTCTTGCTGTAAATTTTACTTTATGTATTTAAAATATTTTTGCCCCACCTTTCTCCTTAAAAAGCATCCAAGATGGCTTATATTAGTAAAATACAGTGTTTAAAAATGCTAGATACTAGAAAGGGTCAAATACCACAACACGGTAATCAAAAGCAACACCAGAAACTCATTAAAATGCAACAAGACACAACTACCTTTTTAGCAACCCCGCTCAGGCAGCCAGTCAATCACTCAGGGAAAGCTTGCCTGAAGGCATGGTCTTCATCTGAGAGACTGTACACTGCCCAGAGAATATTGGTTACTGGGTGGTTTAAAAGTTAAATAATGAATCCAATAAATTGTTGTTCTTATTGTTTAGGATCACCTGATTAAGAACATCGCTTCTAACAAGTGCCTGTCAGCAAGAGGCGAGCATCCCTCCATGGCACTCTGCAACACTGCAGACCCTTACCAACTCTGGTACTTCAGCTAATATCTGGCAGACATCAAAGCAGCACAAGCAAAGTCTGGTGCCAGGGACTTCCTGTGGGGAGCTTCCATTTTCTTACCCCACTCTTCAAAAAAACAGAGGACCAGTTCAAGACGAGGGGGGAAAGGACCCATTCAGATATGCTGCATGACCACACTTTTGCCTGAAACACTCTTGTGCCTTGATGGGATTGATTATTCAGACAGACACAGAGAATCTTGATGTACCTATATATTTTTTTAGTAAGAGTTGTAAGCTGCTATGTTTGCTCGTTAGAGTGCTCTACATTTTGTTAATTGAAGCTCCATGTTATGGGATGGACAATATAGGTGATTTAATCCTACAGTAGATAAAAAAAATTTGTAACAAGTGAAATCAAAACTTTCCTTACATGTGTACACTGTGAGCAGCGTAGGGTGTCGTGGCTTGAAGAAGACCACCATCCCTGTCCTAAGGAGTAACCTGTCTGTGGGATAGTTCAGAAAATAATCAGATGCCAAAGATAATGACGTTAATCGTTGTTACACAAGGAAAGCACCTTTTTTTAACAGTACTGAGATCTGGAAGGAGAAACTACACAGTGAAAATCAGAGAGTGAGAAAGAGCTCTTGTGCCCTTTTACAGCAATGCTAGAGGACAGCAGGCAATCATTGCTCCCCAAAGAGGCAGGAGATTAGTGTGCATTTAAAACAGCAAACACTGGAGTGCAGTATTGTTGCGTGAGTGAAATCCCCAGCCCTTTGCACAGGCGGTGGCCAGTGTCTTACCTCAGGCTCAGGAAACTCACCAGCACACACTGCAAATATATGCTGTTGCCATTAAAGATGAACAAGGCAGTTTTTTTCCCCTCAGCCAAAGGAAAGTGGAATCAGAAAGGGATCTTGGCTGTTGGATTCATGCAAAGGAGTGAGGTCAATTGTTGGGCACCTCCTTAAGACCTCAGTGTTGGAGTCTGTAGGTGCCACCTCAGCCTTTCTAATCCTTGCACTGCAAAAATCAAAAGAGCTTCAATGGGTTCTGCTTCCCCACCCACCCCCCACCTTTCTGTGTGGCTTGCAGGGGGGTAGTAGAAGGGCTTGTAGCTCCCTTGCTTGACTTTCTATGCTGTGGAGGGGTGGGAGAGTTCTCTTATTTTACTTCAAGATGCTTCACTAGCCTCAACCATAGATTGCAACAACAGAAGTCAGGAAAGCTGCCCATGTGCCTTAAAAACAAGCTTGCAGAGGACATAGTTCTGTCCCTTCAGAAAATGGCTGCTGTTACAAGCTTGTGAAATCTCCATGATGGAGAAGATACCAGAATCACCTTGGTGGGTGGGAGTTCAGGCAGTGGAAAACCAAACAAGAAGGCAGGGGGTGTGTTTACAGGAACAGCCACCTGACTAGGCATGAAAGTAAATACACACTGGATATTGCTAGGTATAGCTGCCTCTGGCAATACCTATATCTTTGTTCCCATTATTTCCTTTGTATGCTATTTAGAAAATATTTAGGTATGCCTCATCCTTGGATGTACATGGTGATTTTGTTTAAAGCAGGTTGTGACACTGTTCCTCCACAAAGAAGTAATTTCCTGCTACCTCTTGTTACCTGTGGCAGCTGCTTAGCAATTGCAAGGCAAAGCACAGATAAGCCCAAAGGAAAGCAAATGATAAATGACATTCTGAACTTGTAAGAACTGAGTGTTGATGAGCACACTCCATTTGTACATTTTAAACTTAATGAGGTGGTTGGTTGATACTTGGGATCACAAAGCCACCTCTCCGTGTGAGGTTCATTTTCTTTTCCCTTCTTTAAAGAACACAGCTAGTTTCTGTTCCATTTTTTTATCAGCTTTGAAGAAAGCCCATTGGTTGAACGGAGTGAAGGTGCAGACTCCTCCTTGGTTCTGAGTGCAGAAGCAAGCATTAGTCTTCCCAGTAACTGTGTTTATTTCCGGGAAGCGTTTAGCTCACACAGAAAGGCCTGCCCTAGTAACTGGAAACAATAAAACTGAAATTATGTTTTACAGAAGTGTTGAGTTGGTCTCTCTTCCTTTTGAACTGCTTTTCTGTAGATGATTATTTTTTAGGGAGGCCAATAATGTTTGGAACATCCTTCGCACTGACTTCCCCCTCTCATTCTTGTGTTGGTCTACTGTTGACTTGATGGGAATAGCTGTTGAATTAGTGACCTGTAAGATTTTAGGATCTGGTTAGCTTACAGACTGTTGAGTCAGCAACCAGTAGTCCTTAGGACAAATCCTGCCCCTAATGCTGAATCCTTCCCCTCCCCCTGCTCTCTCTCATCTGTAGTCTCCCTTCATTTTTTTACACCTTCTAAGGATAATTTGCTGGCGAGCTATTCTACATGCATTCCATTCAAATCGGTCTTACCAGGAATATAGAAACACAAATGATAAAAACACCCTCATCACCATAATCACCCAGTCTCCTGAAAAGGACAAAAAGCTAATCCCACAACTACAAATAGTCAGCTATCCCACACACTACACCAGAACACAGACAAGAGTTCTAGCTCCTGTCCCCAGCCACAGAGACTGGTGAAATGTTAAGAAGAAAAACCTCCAGAACAAGGTCAAACAGCCCAAAAAAACTACAACCACCATCGGATCCCAGCCATGAAAGCCTTCGGAATACACAAATGATAAGATTGAAGCACATGGTCTTACACCTGGGCAAAGTGTTTTGTTCCTCTTTCTCAGTGCTCTCATCTGACTAGCAGCTTCCCTTGTATATGTGAAACACATCTTTCACTTCACTTCTTCACTTCATCCCAAGTATGCTCTGCAGAGTCCCCCAAGTCAGCACTGCAGATCTGGGTTTTTTGTAATGGGTCGCACTGGAGAGAGACGATCTTCATATGTAATGTCCATTTTACTGACAATCTGACCTCTTGGGATATAACCCAGGCCCTGGTCTGAAGACTACTGAAGTGACTAAGACTACAGAGGCGGCCCCTCCCCCTTTTCCTAGTCTGCACTTCCTCTCCATTTGCAAAACATTTCTAGAGTCCCTTTTGTCCTGTTTTTCTTTAATAAGATACAGTAATGATCAGAGTGGCTTTTGGAAGAATATAAATTTAGGATTAAGGTAAAAAGTATCAGTGAACAGCCAGCTACAAATTGATTTTTACAACCCTTTTAAAAAACTAACAAAAAACATCCTCAATTGAAATCGGTGGGAATTAAAAGGTAGCTGTGAGTGCAATGAGGCTAAACATGATTTTGGGCTCAACCCTGTACATGTTTATACAAAAAGGACAAAAAGCTAATCCCACAGCTACAAATAGTCAACTATCCCACACACTACACCAGAACACAGACAGAGTTCTAGCTCCTGTCCCCTGAAGCCAGCTACAGAGACTGGTGAAATGTTAAGAAGAAAAACCTCCAGAACAAGGTCAAACAGCCCAAAAAAACTACAACCGCCATCGGATCCCAGCCATGAAAGCCTTCGGAATACACAAATATTTTATAATTCTGCAGGAAATACACATGATTTTGGGCTCAACCCTGTACATGTTTACACAAATATGAGACCCATTATGTTTAGTGAGGTTTCCTGCATAATGTGTGTGTGTGTGTGTGTTGGGGCTGCAGCTTGACTTCCTCAGGATCATTGCTAATCATTCGATTCCAAAGGGAAGCCAATTAGTACTTGTAATGCAAAGTGAGGAATTTGTTGTCCTGCAAAAGCAAGCAATGCACTAGTGAGATTTTGCATGGGACTCACTGCCACAAAGTGTATTTTTCACAGGTGTTGCCCCACCCTGACTGCCACAAGACCATACGTGCACCTTGGCTGATCTCTTAGGACACCTGTTCGTTTCTTTCTGCTACTCAGCTGATCAGCTATTTGTTAGGGGATGAGGAATAAACAGTTCTTCCAGCACTACTGTTAAGCAACAATATTGATCAGCATTACTGAGAGAAGGGGGAGTTTCCCTTACCACCCCAAGACCCCAGTGCAGCCAAGGTCATCCTGCCATGATAGCAGCCAGCAGAGAAAATACTATACTGTGTTCCTCAGGACCAGGAGGAGAGTGATGGCTTCACCCTGTCCCAAGTAATCTTGGGCCAGCCTGTCATCTCTTGGCCTATGCTACCCACACGGGAAAGTCATTAAAAGGATGAACAGGTAGGCATTGTAAGCACCACACTGACTTCCTTGAAGAAAAAAGAGGGAACATGCTCTGGGAGAAGGCATAATACACTGCTTCCTGCCATGTACTACTTGGAAGGAAGATACAGTCTTGCTAATTAATTGGTATTGATAGCCAGTATGGTGTTGTGGATAGAGTGACCAACTAGGACTCAGGAGGCCTTGGACTGGAAACTCAACAGCATGTGTGGAACTGGTGAAATCACTCCTTAAATCTCTCACGTACTGTACCTTGAAAGTTCTCCATTGATGGCAGGTAACAAAAATTTATTGGTGCTGTGATTTTTATCCAATTTTGGAGATCTACGTAATTTTCTAAGGAATGTCTGTCAAGACCACCCCAAACGTCTATCATCCTGTTTCTTAGAGCATGTGCTTCCTGACATCCTACAGAAGGTAGGCAAAGCTTGAAGACCAGAGCCTTCTGCCTTGGTTGCACAGTCCAGCCCCTGGTGTGTAGAACATGCTGCCTCTTGTCTGTTAGGGCCCTGTAGCCAGCGTACTTAGTAGCCACTGATGCCCTGTCCTCCCTGGATGTCTCTAATCAAATTATAATAAGATCTGTTTTCAAAAACGAAGTACTGTATATAGTAACTAAATGTGGCAGATAGCTAGTAGTTGTGCAAATGAACTTCTGAACAAAGAGGAATGTATGAAAGCTGAAAGAGATGGCTGGGCAAAACACACATACACACCTGTGTTGATACTAGAGGTTTTTTTTTTTTAAGCCATGTGCTGTTTATTCTTGGAAAAAACTTTCCTGGCATGCTTCAAGGAGAGAGACCATGAAAGATAATAGAAGAAATACAACAGGTGTGCAGCGTACACAACACACACATCCAGGGTCCTCTGGGACATTTGGGTTTGGTAGGGAGAGGGAGCTGCATCAGTCAGCATTTCAAATGGACTTCCTGCTCCTGGTTTGCTCTTCATGTATTCGTTCCCAGTTCATGGCATCTGGGAGCCAATTGTGTTTCACGCATGTTTTCCGTAATCTTTCTCTGTAGTCGTTATAATTCACTATCAATTGTTCATCATGGCTCCTTAAAATATTTGTGCAATTGGAAACTGAAATCTTATAAGCATAAATTAAGATCTGTAACTTAAATGAACAACTGTGTGTCTGTCAAATCAAAGCTAGACATCAGATTAAGGAATAAAAATAAAGTTCTCTGACAATCACTAGTTTAACTGCCCATCGCGCCCATAAAGTGCTATCTTCTACACTGTTAGGAACAATGTCCTGTCCAGTCTAGTAATGGCTGAAATCCTATTGCTTAACATAGTCACAATTAAAGCTCATTCAGCGAGGATTTGGTGAGTTAATTCCTCTGTAAATTCCATTGATTCTTCCTATTCTGCCTATTCTTCCTACACTGACAACAGGATTTCAGCCATTAACAGTTCTTAGCTCAAGTTTTTCCCCACTTATCTGATCTTTTATCTAGGGATATCAGGAAGCAAAACAGGGGGTTTCTGTATGCAAAACAGGTGCTCTGCACCATGTTATGGCCCATTCTCACACCTAAGCTTAGGTGACTAGTGGACTATATAACTTAAAGTGGTCCGGTGGTCCAGATAGGCAGAGTATGTATGTATGTATGTATGTATGTATGTATGTATGTATGTATGTATGTATGTATGTATGTATGTATAAATAAATGAATAAATGAATAAATGAATAAATGAATAAATGAATAAATAAATAAATAAATAAATGGATCCTGGAATCCACTGTAATATTTCAGTAGCTCTGGCCATATAAATCTATCCATATCTATTCTCTGACTTTCCAGGGGATTCTCAGTATTATTTCCTAGGATTGCACTGATTATTGGTAAAACCACCTTTAAAAGTGTGCATCCAAAGTACATATTTTATAATTCTGCAGAAAATGTACAAGCGGACATCTCTACACAGAAGGGATTTTTTGTGGTCATCTTGTATCAAACAAATGACCAAAAATTGTAACAACTGACTGCCCTATTCCAGATGTAGCTCTCATTAGAGTTTGCTGCAAATAATATCTAACGGTACTATTTTTGGTTATACAAACAGTAATACAAAGGGATGCAGAAATGCATCTCTAACAGCTTGGCTGATGAATTAGATCTTCCATGGATGTTTCCTTACTGTAGGCCCACCTAATTTCAAAATGAATGGCATCTGGGTAGGTGCAGTTGAGGTTTTAAAAGAAAAAAAAGACTTCTAAAAGCACTTGAATGCGGTACTATTATTCTGCTGACCTCAACTACTCGTTTATCTGCTGTGTTTATTTTCTTACATTTTTGCATTTCCGCTTTAATTGCTGTATTTAATTTGTAAGCTGCCTTTGAAGTAGATTTTTAATTGGTGAGGTACTAGAAATGTTAATTAAATAGTTGCACAAATAATTAGGTCTAGGTCCCTCAATCCAGGCCTAATGATGCTTAAGAGAAGGTATTTATACATGACCAGTTTTCTGCAGTGGGGAGGAGATACGTTGGAATGCAAATTCCATTCAGAAACAATGCAGTGCGGTGAAATTGCATCCATCAAAGACATAGCTGGATAGACATCCAATTTATAGCACTTTGGCCTATCCCAACAGGTAGTGTATAAATTGAAGCCAGTTTCCAATGGGAAACAATAAGCCCTTTAGGCAGAGACAGGATCTGGGTAAGACATTTTGCTGCCTAAGGCAGTGGTTCCCAATTTTAAGTAACCCAGATGTTCTTGGACTGCAGCTCTCGGAAACTCCAGCCTGCACAGCTTATGGGAATTGCAGTCCAAGAACACTTGGGTTTCCCAAGGCTGGGAACCATTGGCCTAAGGCAAAGACCAAAATGGTGCCCCATGTGTTCTATGCACTGCTGAATCTTTCTTCAGGACTGGTTACTGACAGTGGAGAAAATGCTATTGTGTAACTATGTATATGCAACTTCACGTTACACCCATGTTAGTTATGATAGTGCCAAGGCGGAAGTGCTACCAACAAAACACCCAGGATGTGTAACTGATTACGTAACTGAATCTACATTAACAGGATTTGGCTCAGTGTTTTCTACCACCACCCTTCTGAGCAACAGGCTAACTCAATGGACAAAGGACAAAAAGAGCAGCAGAATTCTGATCTCTAACATATTGGCTGAAATCTTGTTGCTTAGTACAGTGGTCCCCAACCTTGGGCCTCCAGATGTTCTTGGACTACAACTCCCAGAAGCCTTCACCACCATATCTGCTGACCAGGATTTCTGGGAGTTGAAGTCCATGAACATCCGGAGGCCCAAGGTTGGGGACCACTGGCTTAGTATATTGCTCTAGATTGGGGATTTGGTGAGTCAACTTTTCTGTAAGTTACAATGATTCAAATGAGCCTACTATGTGACTATGCTAACAGGGTCTAAGACATTATTGCTTCTAAACTTCAGTTCTAGGAGATGATTTGCACTGTGAGTCAAATTCCTACTGGTAGGTCAAAATTCAATAATTTTACTTCCTAATTTTTATTTCCATCTGCTAAATCTGTGCTACTATACTCAGGAATGTAGAAAAAAATCAGAATATGAATAAATGTCGACAAGCAACCTCTTAAAGCCTTTCCCCATAGTTAAGGGTGACAGCTAAAATTGTACTTCTCTTCCAAAAACCCCCATAATGTGCTAATTAATTCAATTACTTCTAAACTTTGTCCTTCAACTAGAATATAGAATGAAAAGGAAAAAAATGTTGATCAAAAAGAAGCAAGGTTGTTACTGTTTGTGTTTCCAAGTCATCTGCTCTCTTTCTCATAATCTTCTCACACACACACGCACACATACACACACCCATGGCTACATTAAATTCTACTAGCTCTGCCATGCGGAATTCCCAAACTATAAAAGGAATCATGGTGACCAAAAGCAAGTCTTGACGTTGACTTCCATCATGCTGAAGCTTCTCATTTTTGCTACGCTTGTCCTTTATGGTAAGTATTTCTGCACTTAAATGTTTTGCAGTGCTGAAGGGAGATATACTTCCCCCATCGCCATCTGCCTTATTATATACAAAACTGCTTTCAGCTTCTCTGTGAATATTATATAGACAAACACGCACATGAAGCTTCCATAGAGATAGTTCTATATGGTCCATCTTGCTAGCTTCCTTGGTGTCTGCTAGATATCACATACCTGGCTGGAGATACAGATAGACTGCCCTGTATTCTGTCTCTCCAAAGGTTAGTCCTCTATGTCACGGCTAAGGAATCCTTGTCAGCACAGGGTTCACATTGCAATTAGGGTTACTACATCCACTACAAAGGATGCAGTGCAGGCAGAGGGCAGAAAAAAAAATAAAAGGCACAACTCCTGGTTTATTTTATGAATGAGCTGTTTTTACTATCTATCTATCTATCTATCTATCTATCTATCTATCTATCTATCTATCTATCTATCTATCTATCTTCTGTCTGTCTGTCTGTCTGTCTGTCTGTCTGTCTGTCTGTCTGTCTGTCTGTCTGTCTGCATGTAAATGAAAATCATAAATAAAACATACATACAATAAACTTTCCACCTCTTGGCAATAGGAGGATATGATGATTTTTGGGTTTCTTCAGAAGTTGTTCAAAGGGGTTTCTTTTGTATCTCATGTCTCAGACTGCACTCGTTGACACCATTTTGCTTTTAAAGGACACTGCTCAGAGGAGTCGTTGAAGGCAAATGGACGTGTCGTTGGGGGCTATGAGGCAAGAAAGAACGCATGGCCATCACAGGTAGAGGAATACTTTCTCTCTGGAAAGCCAAGGTCTTCCCAAACCACCCTGCATGCCTTAGCATCTCAGGGTGGGAAGAAGTGCCTGGGATGTGACAGCCTATCTTTAGTTCCAGTCCTCAGGTCCAAGTGGCCATGCCCTCAGCCGCATCTCTTTTTAATGTTAAGGCAAATACATAGAATAAATAGTTCGGTCATCTAGTAATAGCAAAAAGACGAACTAGCTTTCCATGGTGAGTAGATGAATAGGAGGAGTCAAGATGACCAGAATTCTGAAAGAAGATGGAATATCTGCTCATATAGATTATTTCCCTTAGAATTAATTGTAACTCTTTGCCATGGCTAACAGAAAGATTTACTTAGTAGGTGTCTGACAGACAAAGCTGCCTCCTTCACAAAGATGGGGAAAGAGTTCCAATACTGTCAGGCTGTAATTTTAATCAGCCTCATCCCTTTCCCCCTGTACAGGCCCCTGTTCATATAGCTATGGATACCTCCAGTGCTCCTTTTGTATGCAAGAAATACAGGACTCTCTCTCTCTCTCTCTCTCTTAATCTTCCCATCTAGATTTCCCTCCAGTACTACTCAGGTGGCAGCTGGTATCACACATGTGGTGGGACGTTGGTGGCACGTAACTGGGTGATGACAGCAGCTCACTGTGTGGACAGGTGACAATGATGAACTATATCTTCACTACCTGAGCTAGAGAGCAAGTGTACTTGTAATTGGATCTTAAGGGTTTGTTTTCATGGGTACATGGCTGGTTTGGGCTAAATAGGGCATCCAAATGGGACATGCACCTCAAGTAACCCTATTTCATCTGGCTCCTTCTGCCGTCAATTTCCCATCTCACGAAATCACATAAGAAGAAAGCCACTTCAGGATATTAGCATATTAAACATGTTTCCCACTCTATGGATGGAAAAACACATCCTTGACCATTTCTATCTCCTCCTGCTTCTGAGAGGAAATTTTCAATTTTTAAAACTTTTTGATAAGCAATGCAGTACATCATTGACAGTCTTTTTTTTCTTACTTCGTCTGCCCCTTTGCAGTGCACAGGAAGTGTTTAATTTGCCAGTATCCTGAAGTGGCTATCTTTTTAAGCTACTGCACAATATAGGAAATTGACAGCATAAGGAGCCTTAACAGCCTCAAATCCACTTTGCTTCATTTCAAGCAGTCACACGTGAAGAAAACAAACAGGAGCGATCCTACCCACATCAAAAAAGTAGAAGCCTCTGACAAGGATGCAGGAAGATGTGGGTCAGAATGCTCAGGGGACTGGTTCACTCCAGCAATTACTGTACATTGTGTGATCACAGGAAAAAGGAGCATAGCAACCCATTCCTGCAACAGACTGAACAGCATGATAAATGCCCATTTGATCACTCCTGGACTGATTAATGGCTAAAGTAGAGAATGAAATACAAGCTGGAAAGGGTAACATTATTTGAATTTTTGAAGGGAAGTGTTCAATTTCCTTTTTTAAAAAAAATATAATGTTGGGAAAATGTCTTTTCTATCTCATATTTCTTCTGTCTTCAGACTGACAACTAGACAGAGTCTGGGATGTAATAAAATAAATTGCATGTTAGACTGGAAACAGCAAGTAGCTGCTTATAATTTTGCCTGTAGTATAAGAGCAGCACTACATTGACTCTTTTTCCTTTTCCTTTTTTTCCAAAATATGCCTGTTTGTTCATAAATTATTTGAACTGGATGGCTCCTCCAACTGCACATCTCATCATGTGTACAAATCTATTATCATTTGGTATTCTATGGAACACTTTGTATTCCCTGAATCACACCATATGGAATGACATAGAAGCATTTAATTTACTGGTCAGAATCTTATTGGTGATGAACACATGTTTTAGAGAAGTTGGATAAACCTGGGCAGTCAGTAGTCCTAACGAAGAAGCTGCTGTTGCATTTCTGGGCACACGTGCGATCATGGAATTGGTTTCATGGTCAGGAACACACCCATCCCATTGTTGATGAGAGGAAATTTGCTACCAAGGCAATTTGTAACTAATCTCCCTGACACAAGTATTAAGCCACCAGGAGAAAGACAGAACTTTATTACAATTGGATGAAGTCCATAAGAAATTGCAGCCCTTGACAATGACTGAATGCCCCAAACAGGGTCCTGAAAATATTCTTGTTGATTTTTTTATAAACATGTTTCTAGATCTCATGATTATAGAATTGTTTGGAAATGGGTGTAAGACTCCAGACAAAGGAGCAGAGCGTCTATGTGCTACATCAACTATTTGCCTCTTCTTTTTGGTCACATCTTGCCCATACCTGCCTTCTTGCCAAGTATTGCTCCATGCAAAGGTAGGATAGGTAGCATAGGGAGGCTAGAATTCTATAGCTATCACAAATACTGTACTGAGATAAAGCCTGAAGTCAGAGCGTCTATGTGCTACATCAACTATTTGCCTCTTCTTTTTGGTCACATCTTGCCCATACCTGCCTTCTTGCCAAGTATTGCTCCATGCAAAGGTAGGATAGGTAGCATAGGGAGGCTAGAATTCTATGGCTATCACAAATACTGTACTGAGATATAGCCTGAAGTATCATATATATAACTACTGGGGCTTGTGGAGAGATTCCAGATGGGCAACAGTTCTCTTTTCCTCTTCTATCTTTATCTACAGAAACATGAATTTTCGTGTGGTTCTCGGGGACCACAACATTTATCAGCAAGAAGGCACAGAACAGTACATAAGCGTGAGCAAAATCGTCATTCATCCATACTGGAATAGCAACAATGTAGCTGGAGGGTAAGTGTCTTTATCTTGAAAACATTCCCCAGCTATGTACAGGTAACCTCTACCATTTGTTAATAATGTCTAGGATCCAAAGAGCTCAATTAGAAAACAGTTATGAGCATGGCCAGTGAGATTTAAAAAAAAATTCCAGAGATCAACCTGCAACATCACTTCTTAAACTACTTTTGAATGTCCCCTCCATTCTGAAATCCGCCCTGACCGCAAACCATAATGAGCAGAATGACCCCAGAAATTGAATTAATTTTAAGTATAATGTAAAAGCTTTTTATCCTTTGAGGCCATATTATCCTTCTGGGGTCTTCATTTTTTTTTCCTGAATGTGTTTCTTCTCAAAAGGTTAATTCTGTGGCCTAGAGCCTAGAACTCTGCCCCCTTGGTTCAGACTCCTTTTTGTCCATGTCAGCAAGCAAGCTTTTGGGGGGCATTATAAAAAGGCTTCACTCCTTAGTGAAATGCAGTAATAGGGTTATTCAGTGGAGTGGGTTCCTGGCTTTGGTTCAGACTGAGGCCAGAAACATATATTAGAGGTACCTCATACCTTGAAGAAGGAAATTCTGGATGAGTGTATCTCTCTGTAACTGCACGAGGTTCTTTAACTACCAGGGTTTGCAAATTATTTCATTTATTTATTTATGAAACTTACATAATGCCTGACAAGAAATTACACAAGAAATATAAAAATTAAGAAACATCAGTTTACCAGCCGGCCAACTCCTAACTCATAACACATAGCACAGGAAGTCAGCAATGCAACAAAATCAAGGTTAGCAAACCACATGGCAACATGCAATAACAATGCACAACTCACAGGTCATAGATCAACCTCAGTGTGGTTGACCGAAAAGCCTCTCTATACAGCTCCGCCTTCTCCAGTTCCCTGAAGGATTGGAGGGAGGGGGCCTGGCATCCCTCCAGTGAAAGGCCATTCTGCAGGGACAGGGCCACCTCCTAAAAAGCCCATTTCCTAGTAAATATTCTCACCTCTTTTAATTAGCCACCCTCAAGAGAGAGAGAGAGAGAGAGAATGGAAACTAAATTAGCTCATTTTATTCAGGTCTTAACGCAGGAGTCTTTTGAAGTTTGATTTCACAAATCCAGAAAGACTGCCTCAGTCATCTCTCTGCAACATTAACTTATTTTTGTCTCTAATTACACACTATCTCTATTATGTGCTGCTGGACTCAGTATTAAGGTCTTGACATGGTGTCATCTCCTCCTAAATTTATAAGTTTTTTTTTTCCAGATTACACTGGCTCCTCCCATCAGAATCTTGGCTGCAGATCAAGCTGTGGTTTATTGTTCAAGAAACGCAAGCCCCAAACAGGGGAGGGGAGGTCAGAGGTGTGGAGATCACACTTGTACATTTTGTGTGACTAGAAAATGCCAGATATGTTCTGATTAAAGGTGTGACTACACCAGAGAGCCAAACTGGAGTGATTCAGTTTTGCTGCAATTTGATTCGCAACCTGTATAACATCTGAAATCGCAGCCAGAGCTTACATGGAGATTGTAGATTGATCTGAGTTTACACTCGATGTGATCTAATTCGCATTCCAGCCCTCAGCCCCTTGTTCTTTACTTCCTCTGGTCCCACCTCTGCCCATCTGATGGGGAACTGATGGGAACATAAATATGGGGAATAATAACGACCCAGAGATAAGGTGATCTAGTGCTAATCTCATATAAGGATTTTTTTAAAAAGTAAAAAATTGGAGGATGATCATGAGAGAGGAAAGACTGCGGGGGCATGTTCCCCAAGTCCTGAACATCACGTCCCAATTGCCTACAGCACTGAAACACCACCTGCAGACATGCCCCATCTTTCAAGAATGTAGTACAACTAACCACATGGGGGAAAGCCCATTTGAATCGTTCCGGCTTGAAAAAGTAGAAGGTCTCAGCGGCAGAGGGGAAAAAAGCCGCTTTGGGAGCAAAAAAGACTGGACCAATTCAAATCAGCCTTTGAGTCATGCGATCAGCAAAAGATAGCTTGAATTCACCCAGTTTTTAAGCAGAGTGAATACCACAGTATTTGACAAGCTAGTCATGCTCTAAATTACCTTGAGTAGCAAGGATGGCAAGTCCCTCTGGCTGAGGCCTCACCTGTACCTGCTTTATATATTTGTCCACGTTTAATGTGTGTGCCTCGTAAGGCAAAAAAAAAAAAAGATTAATAGGTCCTTTAAATAAATAATAAACTTAAGGCTGTGGTGTTTTTAAAAAATGCAGTTCAATAACAAAGTTTGTTCCTGCCTTGTCACTGAAGAAAGCTCAGTTTTTATTCTGACAGTTTTCTTGTTTCTCTCCCTGTTCTGTCTCTGCTTCTTGACAGATACGATATTGCGATGCTGCGTCTCGCTCAAAGTGCAACTCTCAACAGCTATGTGAAGCTTGCTTATTTGCCTCCATCGGGCCAGATCCTGCCCAACAATAACCCCTGTTATGTCACTGGCTGGGGCAGGACCCAAAGTGAGTGGTGTTGTTAAGATAAGAACGACATGTCAGGCAGAGACATCAAGGCTGCTGTTTCTGGCCAGTTTGGCTCAAACTGTAGCTGTGGAATATTTTAGTATTTTGCATTCTGAACTCAATACATGATGCATCGGGTGGGACTTCAGCTGCTGAAAAATAAACAGACCCTTAAAAACTGGATTGAGCATTTGTATCTGGAGATGGGGGAAATGAGAAATATTGTAAACTAAACATGTCCTTTTGCTCAACATGGCATATTGTTAAAAAGCCTGACCCTTATGGTTGGTGTGATGCACATCCGTGTACATCGGCCATTTTGCCTTTCATGGACTCCTGATGCCAGATCAGTGCTTGGATGCAATTCTTGGTTTCATCAATAGGAGTATAGTGTCTAGATCAAGGGAAGTATTGTACAAATCTATTCTGCTTTGGTCAGACCTCACCTGGAGTATTCTGTCCAGTTCTGGGCACCTCAATTCAAGAAGGATGTTGACAACCTGGAACATATTCAGAGGAGGGCAACAAAAATGGTCAAAGGTCTGGAAGCCATGTCTTAGGGAGCAGCTTAGGGAGTTGGGAATGTTTAGCCTTACAAAAAGAAGGTTAAGAGGGGACATAATAGCCATGTTTAAATATTTGAAGGGATGTCATGTCAAGGAAGGGACAGGTTTGTTTTCCACAGCTGCAGACACTAGGACAAGGAGCAATGGTTTCAAACGACAAGGAAAGAGATTCCACCTGAATCTCAGGAAGAACTTCCTGACAGTCAGAGCCGGTCGGCAGTGGCATAGGCTGCCTCGGAGTGTGGTGGAGTCTCCTTCTTTGGAGGTTTTTAAGCAGAGGCTGGATGGCCACCTGTTGGGAGTGCCTTGATGGAATTCCTCCATGGCAGGGGTTTGGACTTGATGGCCCCTCTGGTCTCTACCAACTCTGTGATTCTATGATTCTAAGTTATGTGTAAATAATTATTTGGTCGCCAGGGCATAATAATGCTGACTAAGGGAGGCGGGGTGGGTGGGGGAAATGTTTGAAAATAGCAGAAGTCAGTATGTTGTAGAACCTTAAAGACAGGTTTGTTTCCAAAGTTACATGTGTGGAAATTAAATCATTTGGGGGTTCGAAATGTGGCTGTAATGTATAATTTCTTTATTCCCTGTTACATTTAAGTGCATTTTTAGAAGCACTTTGAGAAGATTTTTCCAAGATTTGTGCCATTCTCTTATTTATTATCTTGCAAAGCAACAAAAATTGTTACTTAAGTCTTTTAAAAAAGGGTAACAATAATGAATAATTAGGGGAGGGCTTTGGAATGACTCATGTAATGTCAAACAAATACTTTTTTTTCAAGCTCTGTTCCAGTCAGACTACTTAACTATCCATAAACCACCTCTCTGACTTCACAAGATGAGGAGAGAAGACAGCATGTTTGAAACATTTAACTGATGACTTGAATAATCTGAATTGTGATCTATGGTGTATTTTTGTACAGCTAATGGACAGCTAGCATCGGTCCTGCAGGAAGCTTACCTTCCTGTGGTGGATTATTCAACCTGCTCCAGTTCGTCCTACTGGGGCTCCACAGTGAAGAGTACTATGGTCTGTGCAGGAGGTGATGGGACACGCTCTGGATGCCAGGTAATTCTGTGCTAGCGAATACACATAATCCATAATGGTTTTAAAGTGGAAGCTCTCTGGAGGAACAAATCACCCCTTAAATCTGTACGTGAAGCTTCTCAGACAGGTTTGCAAGTTATGTGGACTATACAGTGCTGCAGCATTTGGGGAGCTTGGGAAAGATTCAGACAGAAAATACTGTTTTCTCACTGCCTTAGCCACAAACATGCACATTACGCTTTGTGGAGAATGCCTGGTGAAAATCCTTTGTACGGGGTTACAGAAACTAGATTGCAGAAGTACCTTGTTCGTTTGTTTAATGTGGAGTAGAAATGGGTTTGATTATAGCTCTACAACCAAAGAAAAGATCAAAGTCTGATGATAAGGCTTGATATTCCAAGTGTGAATTCAGGCTGAGCAAACATTGTTCAGAATGGAATTCATCTCTTCGTAAGTATTTCTGCATTGGCATTTCATTCATATCTTGGTAGCAGTGGCAATCCATTCCTAAACATGTTGGCCAAATTCTGCTGTATTTTTATACTGGCACAATGTAATTGGTGTAAATTTGGGTGGCAAATTGCCACAAATTATGAAGTTAGCAGAGGCATTGGCTGCTGTGTGCTGAGTCAACTTGCCATCAGGATTTACACCAATTGTCTTACATGAGCAAGTGTAACTAATAGGATTTTATTTGTCTGTGGTTTCTCCCTTCCTTAACTTAGAAGTAGCCAATCAACTAAAAGAAGCATCATTACTTGTTTTTAGTGCCTGGAACTGGAAGAAACACAGGGACCTGCACCTAACTACTACTGTAGTCCCAAACCAAAGAGTCTTATTAAAGCAGAGAGATTTATCTAAATGCTGACCTCCAGGCAACAGTAGACTCAATGAGTGTACCATTGTTGGGACTAGAAATTAGATTCAGATCATAAGCCAGAATCCTAAGGAAAAATGGCATGCACAAGGGTATTCCTACAAGTGGTTCCCCGTTCTTGGAACAGTGTCCATCATACTGTAGCCATTCACCAGCTGGGAAATTAGATGTGTGAAGAACAGCTCACCAAAGGAAGGGAATTGCTTGCACTACTGCCATATATTTCCAACAGGATTCTGGCCAAAATAATGAAGACAACATTCTTTAGAGATCTCAAAAAATATCTACAGAAAATATTACCTAGTCAAATACTGCTGAATTTTCATCCTGCCAATCTAGCTCCCCAACATTTCCAGTCTGTTTAAAAAGCCAAATAGAAGTTCTCCAAAAGGATTGTTCTTCTGGAATTTTTTTCCCTTCTCAACTCTTAATTTTTGATTGTTTGGGTTTGGTTTCACATGACAAGGCTTTAGTCTGTTGCATGAGTAACTGGTGAGGGTAACTGTGAAAAAGGTGTCCGCTGAGGCAGCTAAGTGGATGGGAACGTCAGTTTCACTCCTTGGAGGGGAAAAACAACAAAGGGGGATGCCCCTTTATCATGCCCACAGTTTTGCAGGAAGAGGTTAACCCTCTGCCGAGACAGATGCAGTTTTGTCATTCTCCCCACCCTTGTGACCATTCTGCCACTGTTTTTAAGGAGAGACATGAAATGCAATCACAAAATCCATGTATCATAGAAGTATCACTCATTCACTAACTAAATAATTAACTAGATACTTCACTTTCTATAGGAAAAGTGAAACAAACAAACAAACAAAAACAGACAATACACTAAAAGTGCTGATGGCATTTTTCATTTCTTTTGTACTCCAGGGGGATTCTGGAGGGCCCTTGAACTGTCTGGTGAATGGCGCATACTACGTGCATGGAGTCACTAGCTTTGTTTCCAGCTCCGGGTGCAACGTCTATCGGAAGCCCACGGTGTTTACCCGTGTATCTGCTTATATCTCCTGGATCAATGGGGTGAGTTAGTGCTCCTATGTGAAGGCTACAAAAGAGAGCCTAGACATGGCACCATATTCACAGCTGGCCTTTGTTTTGGCTTCGTTACAGAATGGAACATCTGTCCCCAACAAACACAGCCCAGTCTGCCCATTTGTTTTATTTATTACATTTCTGTCCTCCTGTCTTTCCGCTGAAAACAGTGGTTTAGGTGGGCGGCGTACTTTATTGCCAACTTGTTTGTCCAAAGAGAATGCTCAGAATGCGGTAGTGAACTGCAAACTTGGGGGGGGGGGGAATCTTCTTGCGCAACATTTCCTCAGAAAGAGGAGGGAGAACCAGCAGGAAAAGGCATAAATGTGCAAATTGAATTGGGTTTATGGCCTGGGTTCTGTGAGTATGAACAGTAAAGCGAGGACTAGGAGAACACAATCTGTATTCTGTAACCTTAATCTGCAGAAATAGTCAAGAGTCCAAGCTGTCTCAGATTTTCATGGACTCCCACTGCATCTATGGGATGACAAAACACACCCACAAATTGATAACCTCTAGATAAAAAATGACTAATCTTCCAAACAAGGGAGCAGCTCTAAATTATAGATTCCAATATCACAATTTGCAAGGAAAATGTTTTTTGGAGCTATGCTATCCATGTTGATCTATCAGCTTCTATCAGCTTTAAAGGCAGGAGCAGGTTCTCTGTCAGCTGGCAGAACTTGGAATATTGACTACAAGGAGAATACAGGGAATGACAGACATGTTGAAGGCCATCCGCAACTGAGCAGAGTGTGTCTCCCAAAGCAGGACTCTTATCATCACTCACAGTTGGGCAGTTGGCTTCATCACACCACAGCATGGGTTTGCCATAAAAGTAACTTTCCAAATGAGGGATTTGTTCCTTTCCTCCTCTCCCTTGTCCTCACTAAGCGCCTTCATGCAAATAATCTTTTCTTTTCTCCCCTCCCCCATCCCAATTTTACCAGGTCATATCCTCAAATTGAACAAACTAGAAAGCAGAAGTACATCAGAGGTTAATGTCATTGCCTGGTCAGAACACGCTGTACATCTTTTGCTCTTCAACAAACTTGGTGGTGTGCAGTCCTTAGCAAAAATAAAGCTATGCCTTAAACAACTTTGTTTATTCTGCTTTATAGTTGATGGAATTTTGTAGAGGCTCTTAACAGTTAAATACCAAGAATGTAAGAAAATTACAAAAACGATCGTGTATAAAGATTGGCACAAACCAGGAAAACGGTGGTTTGTAATGCTTCCTGGTTCATCGCTATTCACAAACCACGAACTTTCACCAACATTCTGAGGAAATGAACCGTTTCATGGTTTGTGCAATTTGGCCCCTGCGTGAGTTAAAGATGCTGTACTCAGAGTGAGTCTCCTCCCTACCCCCTCCAAGCTTGGCAAAGATTGGATTTGAGATGTCCAAGTTGTAGCCTCCCCCCTCAAAGACAGTCACCCCAGGAAAGTGCTCTTCAGCAGCTGGCTTTGGGGAAATTAAATGAGTGGTTCAAAGGAGGGAACTTGAGACAGGGTGTGACTTGTAATGAGGAGGACTGAGGAGGAAACAGAAAGGGGGCAGGATGAACGGACTAGCTAGCTGAATGCCCTCTTCTCATGCCAAGCTGCTACAAAAGTGAAACCAGCAGCTGAGCTGCCCAGGGTGTGGCTCCCATAACCAGCTACTCCCAGAGAGCTGACTTGGAACTCTATGGTTGGCTGCCTGACCTGACAATCAATCCTAAACAAAGTTTTTTCTAGGTCCACCCCAGTGTTGCCTAGGTAAATGATTGAGTGGTGCCAGGCTGTCTGGCCAGGGATAACACACCCCAAAACAAAGCATACAAGTCGCCAATGCTGATAATAGTTTGGTGTTTCATTTCATTCTGAGCAGGTGCGTTTCCCCAAAGGACTCTGAAATGAACAACAAAACAGTCCGATTTGTGGATTTGTGGGGTGGGGGGGGGGTTGCATTAGCGGTTTGTTTTGTGCCCGTTTCTAATTATGTATCAATAATAAGTCTTAGGGGCCTGCGCTCCAGCAAGGGAGCAGGACGAAGTACACAGCGCAAGGACACAGCAGTATGAGAGGCCTTATCAATCTGGATATTTTCTTGCCAAGGATACAAAGCACAATTCAGTTCTGTGTGGACCATTTTAGGGGCAAGCCCCAGTACCACAGCATCTAGCTAACCAATCAGAGCTTCCTTTCAATGCAAACCCCTCTAGCCTTTCAAAAGACTATGACTTCCAATCACTGATCATGCCTGCATTAACAAAAAAAGAAAACCTCAAATTCTCTCCCCTTCTTCAATGTCTCCCCCATGTACATACATGCACACACAGCCCAGCAGCCTGTAGTCCAGTGGCCCCCAACCTTTTCCAAATTGTGGACCGGGTGGGCAGGGCATGACACAGGTGGGTGGGGTGCACTCACGCGCATGCGCAGATGGGCAGGGCACCCGTGTGTACAGGTGGGCGGTCCGTGCATGTGGGTGGTTGGGTGTGGGGGGAGTGTGTGTGGGAGGGAGATCTGTCTTCATGGCCCAGTCCTCCCAACGCCACAGCCCAGTAATGGGCTGTGGACCGGAGGTTGGGGACCCCTGCTGTAGTCTACAGCTAGTGACAGAAACCAGTATGAGCCTCCCTCCGGTTATGCAGTTACAAAGCAACATAAAGTTGGGAGCCCCTGTTTCTGTTTCTGTTTTGTTCCTCCAGCAGAAAATGGAGAAGTTAGTTCCTGGAGAGTGCCGGAGTGTGTTTCCCTTGTTCTGTTTTTCAGTCCTAGAGTAACTGAAAGCTGGAAACAAATGTTTTGTCCCATTAAGGGATTTATAAAGGGATCCTTAAATAAGTTGAAATTATTTCTTCATACTCTGAAATTCCAAGTATGTCTGAAATGTATGAACGTCAGAAGAGTTTGGCTACAAGTGACCTGGTGGTTGGGAATTATGGGAGCTGTAGTCCAACACATCATGGAGGTCACTAGTTTAGAGAAAACTGAGGTATTTGATGGGTCATCATTTTATTCTCACAAGAATCATGTGAACTAGGTTAAGCTAAAAAGCTGTACCTGGCACAGGTCACATACTGAGCTTCACAACTAAGAGAAGAGTTAAACCTGGGTGCTCTTCTTACCCAGCTCATTTGGTCAGATATTCAACAAATAAATGGATCTAACCCAAGTAAAACATTGGTCTAATATACTTTTAAAAAATCACTTCCTCAGCCCCTCCACTGAGCCAAGGATGTGTTTAATTTGCCAATATCCTGAAGTGGCTCTCCTCTTAAGCCACTTCACAATATTGCCAAATTGACAGCATGCTGGTGCAGACCAAACGGGGTTGCTTGAGGTCCATATGTCATCTGGATGTGGGGACTGGACCAAATGGCATACCGACCCTCCTAGTGACCCTATTTAGCCCAATCCGGCCCACACCATGTGTTTTCACTGTGCATAGCACAGCATTAGCTGTTACATGAAAAACAGAGATACAATTTTAAGCCCATTTTGAGTCTTGCTTTAAAAAAAAGTTATTACAGTATTTGCCAGGATGGCTTTAAAGAAGAAAAAAAGGAAAACTAAACAGCATGGCAGTATGATATACTGGCATGAATTTTGCCAGCCACACACGGGGGATATCTCTTTTGCTTCAGGGCCCCGATTTACAGAAATGTTACCAATCTGATTGTAAAGTTTAGCTGTACAGTGGACCACTGGAGGTAATCTTCTTACAGACACCGATTAGTGAATCCAGGAATGTTAGGTTGGAAGAGGGAGTTCTTCAATTGCTAAAAACATCTGATTATCACAGTCTTGCCAAGGATACAAAGCACAATTCAGTTCTGTGTGGACCATTTTAGGGGCAAGCCCCAGTACCACAGCAGCTAGCTAGCCAATCAGAGCTTCCTTTCAATGCAATGATATTTTCCACACCTCCTGTGTTTGCAAATTAGCTTTTGTGTTTTTTTTAATTGACCTGGATGAAAACATGGGCTTCATATGCAAGTATGATTCCTTAGTTACAAAGAAATGCTGTAATCATATTTGAAACGGTAACAAATTTCAAATGAATGAAGCCTTACCATAGGTCATCATGGTCTACTAACAGTAGCAGAACATATATAGTTCTGATACAGCTTTTTAACATATAGATACATTCACAGTTGGGTGCAAAAAGCAATACAACATCCTTCCTTCTTTATATCTTTTGACTCTTGGCACGTATCTTCTCTGCTGCCACAGCAAATTTTGCTGCTTGATATTACACACAAGCAGTATGCATAACTGAGCCAAGGGATAGCACAAAGATCTGAGAATGCCAACAAGAAATTGGTGTTGGGGGTGCTCATATAATGGGCAACTTAATAAATAATGGAAAAACATTTTCAGCCTCCCCATCTCCAGAGATCCAGCATCTTTGGTGGAATGGAATGCTATCATACCTGACTTCCAAAATGCATGATGCCATACACTGAAAATGTACAGCTATGAATGATTTTCATAAAGGGGCTGCAATGAGATTGACAAAGGTCTCCAAACCACTGTTTTTTTTGGGGGGGGAGGGAGTAATAGTGGAAATTACCAAGAACAGGATACTAAGTGGTTCACAAATTAGCCACTTAGAATAGAGATGGGTTTGTCTCTTTGATCAGCTGATGAATTCTGTTAGAGATAAAGGTGGACAAGGACTTTCTCAATCTCATAGCTGTATAAGATGTGGCTGACTGAGTTTACCCCGAACTCCTAGAAAACTCTGGAATTGTCCTTTAAAGCACCTTTTTTGAATTACTCCTGCAGATAAATTTCAGCCAGTATATAGCAAGCACAATGTGAAAATATTCCCTCATTCATATTGAGAGTACTAACTTAAATATAAAAGTAAAGCATAATTTTCCAGAGGCTCCACTGCAAATCTTGCTTTGTACTCTATTCCGTCTGCTTTGTTGAGCTTCTTGCAGAGGTAAAGATTGGTTTGAGCCTGAAACACTTAAAGATGTTCTGAATGTGTTTACTAGTGTTCAACTGAGTTCATCACGGTTCCTACGTTTGGAGTGGAATTTGACCTTGTTTGTCCAGTGAAGAAAGACACATCATTATTTTGTTGAGCTAGTGATCTTCAAAAGGGAAACTGCAACATAATATCTCTAATGATTGTGAAGGAATACAATTTATATAGTGATACTGTATAGTAGTGACAAATGTTGATGTCCTTAAAGCAACCTTTCTGTTTGTGGAGGAATGGCTTCAGCGCAGGCCCCAAAAGTAGCAACCCTACTGCTGGACGAAAAAGGTCCAGCTTGAGCAAGGACTGGGGCTCCACTAGTTCACAATCTCACAGATCATGTGTGACCACCAGGACATAGCTTGCATTGGACCATGCCACCAGTGGTCCAAAACGTATGCTATTTCCCTGCCGGATCGCATCCTAAGTCACACCACCAGAGGATTCTTAAGTGGCTAAGAAACAGAAGTGTAAATAAGAAAGCTCCCACTGTGAATCAACACAAATCTTGTTTTAGCATCCGCTTAGTAGCTGTCCTCAAGCAAATTACAATCTTGCATCCTCACCTGTCCTCTTCCTAATAAAATAATAATTATGGCCAACCTTACCAGGTGGTTGTAAGCACTGCCTGAATGATGTATGTTCTGTGGGTTGAAAGGCAGTGTGCAAATGCTAGGTTTAAGTAGAAATTTTTCTTAAGACCTGTTGTTTAGTTTATGCAACATCATGATTAATCTGTTCCTCCTGACACAGTGGTTAAACGGCTGTACTGCAGCCAAAACTGTGCTCCCGACCTGGGGTTCAATCCTAGGTAGACGGCTCAAGGCTGACTCAGCCTTTTGTCCTTCCCAGGTTGGTAAAACGAGTACCCAGCTTGCTGGGGTGGCGGGGGGGGGGGAGCAATGTGTAGCCTGCACAATTAACTTGTAAATGACCCAGAGAGTGCTTTAAGCACTGTGGGGCAGTATAGAAGGAGCACGCTCTTTTGCTTTGCTTTGCTTCCTAGAGGTTTTACATAAAATATATATTAGGCACAGAACATCTCCAGTAGACTTAACTCTGTTGAGCTCTCTTGTCCAGTGTTGCAAGTAATTTCTCCCTGTACAGGAAACCACGCTTACCCAGCATTCAGTTAGGAAGCAGGCACGCCCCCTCACCAATATTTAGGCGGATACCAAACCTAGTGACAGCTGATATTTCTTTCTCAGACTTCCTTCCACTGTAAAAAAAAAAAGTAAGAAAGAAAGAAAATTAAACCACAACTTGATGCTGAAAGCCAATTGCACAACAAGGGGCAGCCATGGCAGAAGGCAAGACGGGAAGCGCTGGGCTGTTCGCAAAGCGGGTCCAGAAACAACTCAGCCGAGCTCAAGAGAAGGTACTGGTGCCGAGACGTTTCTTTGAATTTTTTCGGCTTTATGACAGGACCTGGAAGGGATTCTCTTTTCACTTCTCAAAATGGTTTCACTGAAATAAGAGATGAAACAAAACTGGAAAGGAAGAAGAAGTCCTTTTCTCTTTGCTTACATCTCTCTCTCTGGCTGCTCGGAAGGCCTTGAAGGTTGTCCTGCCCAGCGCCAACATGGGCCGTTTGCCTCCTTGCGCAGGCAGCCTTTTGTCCTCTTTTCTCTTTGAATGACAGAACAATTGGATTTTCTTCCAGTTGTTCCATGCCTATGAAATGGTGTGTCTAACTGATTTGCAGTTGTTTAAAGATACAAACATTTGTAATTCTGACTGTATAAAATCACGGGGGTGTGCACATCTTACACCTCTAGACCAGGGGTCTCCAAACCACTTCTGGCCCGCCTTGCCATTTTATCTGGCCTGATCCCTTCAGCCAGTGTGCGCACAGGAGGGGGGTTGCAACCATGTATGCATGCAGGAGTGGAAGGGTGTGTGTGTGTGTCTGTATCTGTGTCTGTATCTGTGAGCAGGGGGTGGGCAGGGGTGCATGTGCATGCATCCATGTGTGTGTGCAGGGGGTGCGTGCACGTGTGTGTGCATCCAAGGGGCATGCAGACATTCCTGTTTCTTTGGCCCTCGCAAATGTTAGAAATATCCAGTATGGCCCTCGTGGTCATAGGTTTGGAGACTCCTGCTCTAGACAGAACAGTTCCTCTAGAGAAAAATGAGCACAACCATGGCAGAGAATTAATGCTTATTGAAGATTTATGTCCTGTTGAAGATTAAAGGGTTTTTGGAATTGCCATTTTATAAAAGGGGCAAACTTCTGTTGCGTCTGCACAGAACCTTTTAGTACCAAGCCACCTCCACGATCAAATGCTGAGGCATCACCATGGGAGATCTCCCTGGACAATGCAATGTCCTTCTATAAAGGAAGAAGTTTGCAAGGAAGGTTCAGTTTTGCTTCCTGGGAAGGCTTTTACAGGCAGAGAACACCAACTGTGTTTCCAATTAATAATATAACCTGCTGTTTCATGAATATATCAGACAAAAAAAAACCTGGGGGAAAAAAACCCTCCAATTAATAATATAACCTGCTGTTTCATGAATATATCAGACAAAAAAAAACTGGAAAAAAACCCAAAGAGACAAAAATGTGGTGGCACCTTTGAGCTTTTCTGTCTGCGGAAGTGGGTTTGATCCACAAAAGCTCATATGAAAATATAGCAATTAGGCTTTAAGTTTCCACAATTTTGTCATTCTCTCGTTTGTTTGTTATGCTTGCACAGATTAACAGAGCTACTTGTTCAAAAACTATTTTATGAACAGCCATTCACACAAACCATGTATGCATTTATTGATTTCTCATCATGACTTCTCAACACTGGCAACCCCCAGTTAAAAGTGTGATCTGTTGAACAATCTTGCGCAAGATTAAAAAAAAAAAGAGGTGGCATGAATATTTTGCTGTCTAGTGTTTGATCTGCCAGTCTTGTCCTGCCTACTCCAGTCAGGAACCGGAGGTTTATGGTAGAGAAGGGCTTCCAGAGATCAGGGCTGGTACCTGTTGGCCCTCTAGATCTTTCCGTCTACAGCCCCTTATGATTGGTAGTGCTAAATAAGGGTTATAGGAGTTATAGGACAAAAACTCTGGAGGGCCAAAGTCCCTTTTAAACTAAGGCATTATCAACTGGACCTGGGGGGCAGGTGTCTCTTGCCTGGAGAGCATGTGCTGTACAGGTGAGAACAGCTACAGGGAAGAAGTAGGGCCTACTCTACAAGGAGATGCCTGACAGTCAGAACCTACCATCTTGTATTGTGTCAAATGTCACTGTCATAAGCTTTCATTTTCCTACCCTCCTCTTTCTGGACCGTCACCCTGTGGATCCTAATTAGTTGATCCCTTTCCATGTTGGCCATTACTGTAGATTCTTTTCAAAAGAGAAGCAAAATAGCAGTCCTTCCTTGACATATTGTGGCCTGTTAGCTTTCTGTGCCATACTGTACGTTTGATAATTAGTTGATCCCTTTCCATGTTGGCCAGTAGATTCTTTTCAAAAGACAAGCAAAATAGCAGTCCTTCCTTGACAGATTGTGGCCTGTTAGCTTTCAGTGCCATACTGTACGTTTGAAATGCTTACTTTTTAAAAAAACCCATCAAACCAGTGACCCAAACTATTGGTGATACAGAAGGTTAAATCAATGCCATTAGCGAGGCACCACTGTACTTTTTAAAAAAAATCAAACCAGTGACCCAAACTATTGGTGACACAGAAGGTTAAATCAATGCCATTTAAAAAAAATCCAAAGCAGCTGCAGTGGACTGAGGAACAAAATGAAGCATAGCCATGACCCTAGAGCAGGGTAAGGGAACTCCTCCACCTATGTCATCTCTCAGCTTTAAAAATCTTCCCCAGTATGATACTCACTGCAAGAGGTTGTGGGAGGAGCTTCCTGTTTTGTTTCTGCCTTTCTCTTTCCTTTCCTCTGTAGCTAAGGAAAAACAAGGCATCTTCACAGCACCGGGGCTTAACCCGCATCTTTCTTTTCAACTTCAGTACAGCCACTTTAAACAAATGAGGGCTATGCTAGGGGCTCTGTCATTGATAGGAAGGCAGTGGGTTCAGTGGAGTTGAGTTGGATGATCCATGAATTTCATCTGGAAGAAGCCCAGAAAGTAGAATGAAGGCATAAGCTGCTTCCTTCAACCACATATCCATTCTGCAGGGACAAGATCCTTACAAGGGTAGAGTGGAGCATGGGCCGTATGATATCTGCCCCACCCAACAGTTTCAATGCCCAATACAACTTATTTCCTGTGTCTATTTCCTCACCTGAACTTGTCTTTCTGTCACCAATTTGCTATTAATCTTTAGGAAATGCCTTTCAAATGATGCATGCTCGTTTAAATGTCTTGGCAATTTTGTTCCCAAGGTTTTTAATGAAAATAGATATAAAAGAGTTACTCATGCCAAACAACAAGATATAATATCTTATAATATCAAGATATAATATCTTAGCCACCTAGAGTGGTCGAAATGACTAGATAGGTGGGGTATAGTTCCCAAGGTTTTTAATGAAAATAGATATAAAAGAGTTACTCAAGCCAAACAACAAGATACAATATTTAGATTCTGCCCTTCCAGCTTAATCAATCAATCAATCAATCAATCAATCAATCAATCAATCAATCAATCATATTTAGATTCTGCCCTTCCAGCCTGGCAAACTCCTGAGCAATAATAGTGAATGTCTCAGTGTGTATCATTGGACAAAGGCAGATGGGGCAAAAGTACCTATAAAAATGCCACATTATATACTGTAAGTTTTGGTACATTTTTCCTATCATCCTGATGATGCTAGGCTTGATCCAGCATGTCCAGTGACTTTTCTCCTACCTTTTAATGTTTTTTTTTTAAATCATTTATTCACAGCATGGCTTATATTGTCCCGCATATGGGTTCCAATTTATTCCAGGATAGAGATTAGGACTATGGTTCTTTCAATTATAGGTTCATATTGCATTAGATGTTCCCAGTTAGAAGCTTTGAATTACCTCATAACTAAAACAGACAAATGAACAAAATAGCTCTAAATAGCTCAAAATAGCTCTACAGCAGGGGAAGAGCCCCCCCCCAACAATTCCCAAGATTTTAAGGAGTAGGGACCTTTCTTTCAGTGACAAAACAACACCATGGGAATGGACTGTTTGGGGGGGGGAAAGGGAATGTGGGGAGCATATGCGTATACCGGAAGAGGCTGTAATTTTTATTGCAGGGCGACACTTCAGAGTTTCTGTTTGCTCGGGCTCTTTTAAAGACCTTGTTTCCGCAAGCAAGAGGTACTTTCACAAGTGGCAAAGTTCTCACCCACTCAGTCAGCAGCAGAAAAACAGCTCCAAGGGAGTCAAGGACAGAGCTCGGAAAGATAAAATTAAAAAAACTATCTAATTAAACGTTATTAATTCCAGGAGCTCCTGAAGTACTTATGTAGTTACCATCATCATTAGACTTCTTAAAAGTGACCCTTTCCCATTTTTTGCATCACAAGCCAGGAGCGTGTGAAACAAAAGACCCTGTCCTCCCTCCACCTGGTCCTCCTCAGTGAGGCACAAGGCAGAGAGCATGAGCCAAGACTTCAACTATGTGACGTTGTCCCTCCACCACTCAGAAGAGTCACACTCATGTCACGAAAATTAACTTCATACACTGCCAAAGAACTAAAACCATCCCTCAGTTAAGTTACAGTCATGTTGGGATGTATGTAGATATACTGTACTTTCATTATTGCAAAAGAGACACAACTGCTTCCAGCCTCTGGTCAAGAAAATAGTCTGAACGGTGATCAGAAGTGTGAGCACTTCTATGAAGTTGCTGGGTAACTGTTAAATGCCTGTTGCCCCATAGCTACACCAGACCTGTATAAGAAGTACAAACACACTAAGGAGGCCTCTGTTTCTGTTTCACACTTGAGCTGGTTTAAGTGATGGGCTGTTTATAAGGAAACAATATGGTTGCCTACCCCATCCCCTGCTCCTTTATTCTGCCTTGGCCCAGTTATTTTATTTATTTTTTACTGTGTGAACTTGACATTTATATGAACATTTCTCTTTACATACATTGTTATATCATCCATAAGCCAGAGGTCTCCTAGTGCAGATTGCAAAACTATACTAATAACTTTTTTTTAAAAGGAAATGCAAACCAAAACAGTGATGCTGACTAGCTATAAAACACAGCAGATACAAAGAGTTCAGAATCTTGGCTTTTAAAGCCTGCTAGAATTAGGTATTTGTTTGGCTTAGGTAAAGGTAAAGGTTCCCTTGACAATTTTTGTCCACTCGTGTTCGGCTCTAGGGGCCGGTGCTCATCCCCGTTTCCAAGCCATAGAGCCAGCGTTTTGTCCGAAGACAATCTTCCGTGGTCACATGGCCAGTGCGACTTAGCCACAGAACGCTGTTACCTTCCCACC